TCGAGCTATGCATTATTATATTAATAATAGTACACGTATTGCACATTTATGTGCACATATTAGATTTAAAAATCAAGTATAAATTATAGTATAATTCAGTTGCTTTTTTATTGATCTATTTAAAATATTACTAAACGATATCTTGACAATCGATATCACATTATTAACGTTTGACACAAAGGATAAATATATCAATGTTTGTAAGATGAACTAACTGCAGTGCAGTCTTAATACTACGTTTTTGTTTGTTTCCACTTTGAGAGTTCATTTCAAACAGCTGTGTGGGTTACATAAGCCTTAATCTTGGGTCTATTGTCACGCGGAAATGGTCTCGGCATGATATAAGAGGTGTATTCTGCCCACACAGATGCCACTCGATATACACTTAGCTATTCGCATCGGGGTCAGGAACGCGCCGTGTGTTCGCCAGGAAGACCCTACAAGGCGATACGAGTTAACTTTTTATCTGGAACCGTTAAGCGAGCGTCTGTTTTATTACTATGTCTCTACAGCTAAAATATGGCTTTGAAACAAGCGGATTACAAATATTCTCTTAAAATATGATCAAATGTATTATTTATAACATCTGTGTATCAGTGCGATTTATTCCTATCAGAATATTTTTAATATTTTTCTGAAGTACTTAGCTGCTTTTTTTTTTAATTTCGAAACTATCGCACGAAGAAAGTAAACGAGACACAAAGAATTTCATACAATGATAAAGTAATCTTCTTGTTGAAATCACACATTTAAAAGTCCGAATGTTTGAAGCTGAATTCTGAGACATAATTACATTGACAACATCACAGGTTAATTTGATTGGCTGAATACTTATCTACTTGCAAATACTTGTCCCTGGAATCACACTAACAATTAAAAACTAGTTTTGATATAATTTTGAAGGTACCTAATTCGAGATTTTAAAAAAGTGCAATGCACCACAAACCGGTAATAGAACGTTTCGTGGCCACGGTTGTGGTATTCAACATTGCGGGATACATGTAGCAAATTTCCCGTAATAATTGTTGATCAATCAAGGATATAATAGGATTAAAGTACCGTAAATCATGGCCGTAATCGTAACACCAGTGCTTACATAATTTTACACTTGACGTCAATAAGCTACCTTTATTTCCGTTTACAACAACTTTTTTCTGATCGTCTCAGAATCCTCCGAGCGGTGGCATATTGACTGTCGTTCGCTGGTATAATATTTTGTCATTCCTGCCATTATAAAACATAATATTGTATTGAGGGAGACGACCTCAAATAAAACCGATTATGATTATTGACTGGGACGTCCGATGTTAGGAATGCGAGCCGAGGTTTCTTTGATTAAAACAACATTTACTCTTTAGTAGTTGAATTCTCCGATTGCCTGGGTGGTGTAGTGGTAGCGTATGCGACTGCTGTGCTGAGGTCTAGGGTTCGATTCCCGGGTCGGACCAAATGTTTGTATAATCTGCAAATATTTGTTTCGGAGTTTGGGTGTTTTCTAGGTATAACATGGCTGTATTTAAAAAAACAAAAGTACCTATATATTCTGTCAGTCAAACTAGTATTCATAGTATAAGCTCTACTCAGTTTGAAACTAAATTGCGTTGTGTGCCGAAAGAAAATGGTACTGAGTACTGACAGGTAAAGTGATTCCTGCTCCAGCAGTGGCCAGAGCGGATAGTGTTTTAGTTATTTAGTACTTTTAGCATATAAATTTCAGCAGGTATAAGTACGTACAAGCTTTTCCGCGCATGAATGTAGATTCTGTTATTTAATTCAGATTTAAGTAATAGTACCGGCCCTGGGGTAGAATGAGAGTTGATACTTAAATACAATTTACGAGAAAGTAAAGTAGCGACCAAAGTGCTTTCTGTCCTTCTTTTTACCCCAGCAAAATTTGAAAAAAAATTCACTATGATTAATTATTATTAATCTGTAGATCAGGCATGAAAGTGTAGCTAAAACAAAATGAAAAAATGAGAATAGCTTTGCTTTGTCTGCTATATCCATTTTTCTTTTCATTATGTGGTATTCCATGGAAACTGTTCTAAAGAAACTACTCTACTCTGTACTGAAATGCAATCGAATAAAATAAATAAATAAAATTTACAATTCATCATCATCATCATCAAGAGTCTATAACAGTCCACTGCTGGACATAGGCTTACTATACCACGCTGGCCAGACGGGTTTCCTTCTCTTTGCAGTGCTGTTGTACTGCGTAGTTTGCTCCCTTAGTCGGCTCTTACGACACCCACGGGATGAATAGGGTTGATGACATTGCGTATTCTTAATCCGTCACCGTTACAATTATTGTTTACAAATTCAAAAATTCCAATTAGTGGAAAAGTGCAAGTCAACGTCATAACAATAATGATGTTTATTACCAAGAAATCAACAAAAAGGGCCATTACCTTTTAATTAGATTTTAAAGCTAAAATCTATAAACATCACCTTGTTTACAAGATTCGACAAATACCTACTATCTTGTTTAAGTCTTGTTTTAAAACGGTATGGAGAAACATGTTCATGAGTCAACAGTTGTGTCATCTCGGACCAAAATAACTTATTAGGACTGGCCGACACAGAACCCTTGCTTTCTAGTAAACAGTTTTCTTACTCTTTCATGCTGTATTAATGCGATTAACTGTAACCAAACTTTACTAGTTAAAATGATAGAGCGATAGCGGCGATAGTCTTAAATGGCCGAATAATTTTGTTATAAATACGAAATTTTTTGTTGGATGTATGTTTGTTACTCTATAACGCCACAACAGCCGTGTCAGTATTGAGTAAGCAAGAAGGCTACTTTTTATCAAAGAAAAATTGATTGACAATATTGATATTAATGCAACCGAAGTTGTGGGCAAAATGTCGTGATATAAATGGATATATAATTTATTTATGATATCGTCTTTTGGTTCTCATATTATTTTGGACAATTAAAATTTTACATTTATAGGAAAGGAAAGTAAGTAAATGATACTATCATATACCTAGTTATATTTTATATTATCTGAAATGTTTCATAAAAGTATTTTAAATATTTTATAAGATCCTTAAACGTATAAAAATGTTATATTTCATGGTCTGCTTTACAAGAAAATCGTCTTCACATATTTAGAGGTTAACTTTAACTATAAAAGGATAAATTATAAATAACTTAAATGTGAAATGAAATAACAAATACAGCTAGAATTACAAATAAGGTTATTTAATGGCGTTATCTATGTCTTTTAAGTAGGTTGACGAGTTCTTATCTTCTATCCACGAATTCAATACAATATGACGGTTATCTCACGAACTTGTGACCTTTGTAACAATTTCTTCGAGGAAATTCTGATTAAATCCTCTGAGCGCGCCTTTCGTAAAAAAATATTTAAATCCGTCTAATCTTTTTACTCCAAAATATTATATTTATCTTCCATCTTACTTTAGCCAAAAAATTGTTTTTGTTTACAAACTCTTTTGGCTAAAATCCATAAGAGATCTTCAAATTTGATAATATAATAATGTTAATAATAAACATTTATTTGCGAATATGGGTACAATAGTAAAGTTGTTACAAAGATTATTTTGAATCCTTCATATTCCACCTTGTGGTATGCAAATATTTCAAGATACTTTTTATATATAACAATTTTAATAAAACATTTCAAACATAATCCAAATATAATTCGTAAGTCACATCTATATAAAAATTTACATGAAAAAATGATAATGTCAGAATTTGTGTCAAATTAACTAGATTGTAGTAAATTGAATTTAGATAATTCTTTAATTTCAATTTCAATTCACTTATGCTATCCAATTCTAATCCAATGATAATCAATTCATTGTAATTGTAAAACATGCTTGATATATTATATTTTAGTAAATATATCTAGTGAATAATTATACTTGTGCAGTAGTATAATGACCCAGAAAAAGTAAGAATTAGTTGGAACCCAGTCTAAAATGTTTTGGTTACTGTCTCGTGCTGCGGGGCTTAGTAGAAAAGTAGGAATACCCTTTTATAAATTTATAAATTGAGGCGTTTATTAAAGTTTGGAGGTGGTATTGTATGATTAATGGGACCTAAATGCCTGAAGATCACGAACCTACGACATCTGTTCATTTGGTACGGTCATCTGTCTGCACGGTATGGTTAATGCCTATAGTCTTTCTCATTGTGTCGTGTGGTAGGTGTCTCACTCTGAATCCCATTTTAATTTAATACCCATAACTGAATTTGTCTTAAGAATCAAAGTGTACAAATAAAATAAATCTTTATTAAGTCAATTACTTAAGTAATGGGCTATGTCTCGCAAGCTAATTAAATTTCAAATCTGCCAGTACACAGCCTAACAGCTTTGTTAACTGTTTTCTTTAAGTATTGCTAGAAAGCTATTTTTAGTACTTACCGTAACACAAGATCTTTGTTGTTTCGATTTTATATAGCGAAGAAGGGTCTTAATAAGTATCCTTTTAAGTGGGTAGGCCATTGGAAAAGGTTGTTTATTTTGAGGGTTGTATGACATTTTTGGGATTCTGTTATTTTTTTCAATTACTTTATAATGAAGCCTATGAAGGAAAGTTTGTGCCGTAATTATACGTTTATTACCTAAATAGATATTTACTGAACCTCTATAACTTTTTCCTACCGTTTTCGTATATTTCTATACTTAAAGCACAAATTCATCAATAAAAATTTTAGCTTTCTGAATCTTTACAGTAAACTAAGTATTTTCAGATATTGCGTTTCTAAGTGCACAATAATGTTTTAAAAGGGTACAAAGAAATATCTTCACGTATTAATACGTGCGATATTGAAACGTCATCATTGAAATACTTGTTTTTTTTTATAAATAAATAGGATAAGCAGACCTAAGCAAAAGGGATTTTTTGGTCAAAGAATTAATAAGTCCTACTCAATCAAACTCAATTTTATTATTTTTTGTTCTGTTCTCACTATATAGTATTTAATAATGTATTTTAATAATAACGCATAATTGTCATTACAGATGTAACGAACAGTTTGAGAAGTGCCGCGGCAGGCGCCATCAATCACGGGGAGGTTGCCATCCTCATTGACCTTCAGGGACAGAGTTCGACAGAGCTTCTACGCGTCAAAGATGTTGAGGATATCTCTATCACTCTTACTTATAACAAAGATGATAAAAAGGGTATTTAAAAACTTTTTTTAATGAACTTAGTAGAAAAACTAAGTAACGTATGCACTAAAATAAACAAGTGAGTTTTGTTAAGTTTGAATACTAATTTCGATTTAACTAAAAATGAACTTCATCGCGGTGATTTAAAAAGTGTGATGAGACCTTCTGTTTCAAAGAAGTAAAAATCTTACCTGTAGTAGTAATAGCCAGTCTACCTACCCCTTAGGCTCAACCCCTTGGAAACAGGATTTGTAGATCGGCACAGGCATACAATGGATTGACCTCATTTTGCTAAATATTCGACAAAAAATGTATTTTATAGATTAGATAGCTATTTGTGTGTGTTGATTTATTACTTTAGATTCTACATAAAAAAAACATTTTAACCTTGTTTTTTAATTAAATACATATTTTGACTTTGACTTGAACAACAAAACTCCTGAAACTATTAAACACGAAAATATATTGCGCCTCATCTATTCTTTTAGTGGCCAATGTAGTCTCTTTTTATTGCATTTACTGTTTTTTAAAGATTTGGGTTGCATGTAACTCATTCTTGTGAACGCGAAAAATCCAAAAATCATGTCTTTATTGTACTGCTGCACTATTAGTAGGTACTATTACTTTGACCACAGGAATTTTACTATATTCACTTTACATTTTAGTATCCTTGACCAGTCACATTGGGGATCATCTAAAAGTTATATCATGGAAACTGGAAGACCATCCTCGCAGCAAATTGATACTGGTTATAACTGCGACCAGAGTTAGGCTGATTGACGACTGTAAACGTCTTCACTGGCATTCTATGGTCGGCAGGCATGATCTGATGTCTACGCTTCTCAGTCAGAACATGGCATTAGTAAGTACCTATTTTTTTGTATATTCATCACATCACATCAAAAGCCTTTAATAGTCCACTGCTGAACATAGGCCTCTCCTTAGAAAGGAGGTTTTGGCCTACTATACCACGCTGGCCAGACGGGTTGGTATAGGGTTTGTGTCAAATTTTCCTTCTCTCTGCAGTGCTGTTGTCCTGCGTGGTCTTTGCAGAGAGACAGATGAGAGAGAGAAGTAAAAGAAATAAGGTTCAGATTCAGTAACTAAAGTTTACACTTTGACGATTCTGATATTTCTGCCAACGACAGAGAGGAATTTAGTAAATAGGAATGAAACAAAAGTTAATGGTGGTTTTGTGAAAAATGTGACCTTTTATTATAAGGTCCTTCCTGTGCCTCCTGTACCTCTTTGGGATACCCGAGGTAGGGTGTGATCTAAGGCTCATAGGGAATAAAATAGCGTCAATAATTTATTAGTTAACTAATTTTGTAACGAGGAAAAGAACTTGACTTTTTTTGACTATATATTTCTTATGGTCACGGGAAGCCATGGGATAGGGGCAGCGCAGGACCGGTAGTTGTGGTGAGCCTTGCGGGAGGCATATGTTCAGCAGTGTGTCTTTAAGCTGAGATGATGAAGATGACTTTATATTTTAATTGAAACTTATTTAGATTTATTAAAAAAAAAACAGTTTTAAATTTTGTTATATTTATATTGTAAGATTTTTACTTTGAAGCGCTTTGCTTGCGAGATTAAATCTATCGATAAAATGTCGGAAGAACATTTACGTTAAAAAAACATTTATTCCTTCCGTTAATTAAGATCCAAACCCACATTAAAAAAATATAATTAATGAAGTCTGAATCGCTTCTTCTAATGTGTAATAAAACTCTGAGCCTCTGAAGATTTGAGGACTATTCAAAGAAATTGTCAAATAAATACTATCTCAAATCAAGTAATTTGAAAACTTATTTTAATTTTATGCCTGAGTGGTATTAACTTGATTCCAAAATTAGTCACTGTGAAAATTATGAATATTTGGCAAGGTTTAATTTAAACAATCTTAAAAAATATTTTCGAATTTATGCTTTAATAATTTGAAAATACCTATTCTTGACTATACATGATTTGATGTTCTTTTTTGTAAAAATTATATAAAACAAATTTATGTAGTAGAAATACATATATATGTATATCTTACGACAAATCGACGCCCCCCGCGAATAATCCGGTAATGACCTATTACGGAGTTTTTCATGTTATGCGTTTTTCGGCATCTAGAAGTTAAAATACACCATGTAAATTTTTTTCAGGATTTTTCTGTCTTTATCTACGAAGATATGAAAAACTACGCGTATATTCCATAAAAAATCATTAAAATGTATTTTAAACGAATAATATGGTTTTAGATCTTTACGAAAACAAATATCAATATGATTTGACAGTAAAATTACTTTACGATATTATTCGGGTAAATAGTTTTCTACCTTATTTATGTAACATTTTATTGTTATGACTATTACTGTTTATTCGAATAGTTTAGTTAAGTATTATTTGATAATTATTATAGTATATTTTATGAAATAAAGGACATTCTAGTAAATGAAACAACTTTGGTTAGTTTGACAAAACACGATAGTTATTATTATCATAAAAAATAGACACTGCACGTAAGACACGACTATTACATATGATTACGCAATCATGAAAATTATAATAAGGTCCTATTACAGTTAAAAATCTTAATCAGAATCCTCATCGTGACCTGATTCAGTATCACAAAAGCTTAAATTCCTATAAAATGGTTGATAATGGTGGGGAATTTGAAAATAGCGCAACACGATATTACCGTTGCCGTCGAAAATATAAATTTACACGAATAATATCGCAACAAGATTTTACTGTTGCCGTCGAAAATATAAATTTACACGAACAATATCGTAAGTGACATTACTGACCTGAGCTTGACCTACACTAATATAGTAAAATGCATCCAGCTAAATTATAACGAAGCCCTTGGGACTACTTTAATTTTGTTGAAATAACCAGATAGCTGCAAAAATTAGCTTCCATATGCGATATAAAAAGTCTCTGATACTTGTTGTTTAAAAGAGTTATTAAGGAAAAATGGTTTTTTATTTTTCCTGAACATTTACACTTTTACGATTACCGGATTATTCGCGGGGGGCGTCGAAATCATCTTGCAATTAAGTACCAAATAGTATTTTGGAATATATAATATCGTCGCTTGAAACTCAATCTTTGAATAGTAACACAAGTACATAAAATGAGTTACATGTCCCTAATGACCCAGAAAATTCTGACGATTCGAATGATATCTAAGAATTCCTTAGTAATTATTGATTTTCCAGCATCAATTAGAATGTCATGATCTATATAATTATCGCAATTCGTGACATCACCACACATCAACGATAAGGGTTGCCTAAATAACATTAAAAATACATTTATTACAGTACCACGAAGAAGGTAGAACTATAAAAATATATAACACTGAACAAGAGGCTTTCGATTCCATTTGTGACCGTCATAATGGCCTGAAACGTGTTAAAGACACTGACTACGAGGAGGTAGGCGAATATAGAAAGAGACTTGAAGAAGAAATGCAAGGAGATGATTATAGAGCCAATTTTGTAGATCCTAATACTGTTTTACCACAACCGACTCCACAGAGAGGAGATATACCATCGAATGCTATTGAGTCTTGTGATGGTAAGCATACATAAATTCTTTTTTTTTTAACAAATGATTAGAGTGAAATGGATAAAATTATGATTACCACATTACTAGTACTCTTGCTTATGCTTTCTATAGAGGAGATTCTTTCTTTCAAATATTTATTCATATCTTAAATTATTTCTTTTCTTTTTTAATAAATGTTTAAATTAAATTCATTTATCAGTGTGTCTATGTTTTAAAGGCACCATATTACGCACAATGGGAATTGAACCCTATGTAGTTGTGACTAAAGTGTACATTTTTTGGTTTGCTTCATGTAGTTTAGATTATATAACATTAGTTGTGGTGTACAATATCTATGTATTTTATTTCTTATTTAGACGAGGTGATTCGTCAGTTGACACTTCTTCGTCAAACGATCGAACACCTTCGTCGTGAGGTGAGTGAGCAGAGAGGTACGATAGACAGTCTCCGTAGTCAGCTCCACCAATGTTGCAACCGTGTCGTGCCTACACCCCCACCAGTTGAGAGGTGCTCTGGATCTTCGTGCTATCCTGGTTATTAAAATTTTATATGATATACGAGACGAGCAGTCTGTTACAATCTTCGTCATATTCGAATTCATTAATTTCTGCATGATTACGTCTGAATTAAATGCCGAAGAATATTGTATTTATCTCGGCAGGTTCTGACTGCTATATTTTAGTCATAGATTCATACTAATAGAGTTTAGGTTAATGTTGTACATTTCTAATGTATTTGCAGTAATTTTAGAAGCCTCTCTAGGATGTAGACTACATCTCAAACCTGATTTAGTCAGCAGACAAAAATTAATTTTGCTTTTTCATACACTTGCCGTTTTTTTTCTAAAGACTATCATTGACCTACCTTGAATATAATTGTGAAATTCCTATAGAATTTTTCTCTAATAATACTTCATTTGATATTACCTACTTAGTATTTCAATACGTATAATGTCTCTTTACTAATGTAATGGCATCTGTTTCTATGAATATAAAAACTTTTGGCAGAAAATCTGATCAAAGTGTCAATTTTATGTTTTCTCTTCGTCCATACTTTTTGCCTGAAGTTCATATCGTGGCCAAATCATATTATTGATCTCTTTATGACGTGGGAAACGATTTTATGAAATTTGTACGTTTCATAAAATTATCCGTTACTTTATGACAATTATTAATAAAAGTAAATAATAATGAGCAAATAAAAGAAAACAATTATCGTGAAATGACTATTTTAGAAAGAAATATATAAATCCAATGTTTACTGAGAATTTTTGTTAATAATATGTCAAGACGTGAACTGGCATATCGTTAAACGTTAACAGAAGTCAGGCATCTGGTCAAGAAACGGTCGACTATATCATCTACTGATCAATTCTAAGGTCTGGCTATGATTATTACTTCAAATACAAACATATCCTTATGTATACTAATCAAACTCTGTAAATCTAACTCCTAATCACTTTTAATGGCATTATCAAATCTCTTACTCTATATACTTCTTACCATCATGATTAAAATAAGGTGGATCAAGCAACTCTTTATATTCAGTGTGGGTTTTTATTAAAAGTATTGTTCTAAGATAGTGTTTTATTTCTCTAAACAAACACCTTGTTCATAAATGTCTGCCTACAGAGTCGCTAGTTTCGCCCACTCAAGTTGCTTGATGACCTTATTTATATTTCTGAATGGATTTGTCGATGATATTATATTATTTTTCGGTGACTCTGTAGGCAAAAATACCTTTGTAGTTCAGTCAAAAACAGGCGTAAAATAATTGGTTATATTTTAAGCCTGTTTATATGGGTATATGGCTGGAGTGCACTTTGTTTTGGAGACTAGAATTTAAAGTTAAACTATATACTATTGTATCATTGTTGAAATGCCATAAAAAAACGAATCTCGTCTAATTTTTAACAATACATACACAAGCATAAGGATGAAATAAATATATTCAAAAACTTTCTCAAGGGTCCATTAAAAGTCTGAAGTATAGTTTGGTTTTCCAAACCGGAGTCTGACCAAACGCGTAGTGGTTTAAGCGGTCGCCAACGCCGCTTACTACTATGATGAGTGTTGTGGGTCCGATCCCCACATGGGACGACACTTTGTGGGATGCACAAATTGTTATTCTGAGTCTGGGTGTTGTTTGTGTCCGTTTCATGTATGTTTGTAAAATCGCCCGCGACACAGGATATATACCTAATGCGGGAGTTGTTACAAAAATAAATGAAATCTCAATGAAGTCGAAAATTTAAAACTCAAAACTACAAATATAAAAATAAAAGGTAATAAAAAAGAGAACTTGATAATATTGTTTATAAAGAACTTTATTCTGAAACTGATAATTTATAGACTTAAGAAGTGCATGATTAACAATTTATCTCGCCATATAGAGACCCTACAAGTTTATTTTCTTACGAAAATATAATAATTCTGTAGGTATTGTCTGGCTATTTCTATGCAAACAAATAAAAAAGATTCATAAATCTAAACCAGAAAAGAGATATTTGAAAGGAAAATAAAAGTTTGACACTAAGGCTGATCACTATTGATTTGTCAATCCAATGTTTGAAACAGGAAATTAAAGCTGAATAGATTTCAATAGAAAACTAAAATCCAAACACTAAATTGAAATTCTTAAATCTGAAATGTCCTATTTGCCGATATTATAATAATCGACATCGGGTATATTAAGTCACTATAGACACGACAATTTAAAAAAAAATTAAGTTGTGCTCTTGATTTTTGTGCATTTGTATGTTAATGAAATAAAATAAAGCCTATGATACTTCAGAATAAAGTTGCTTTTTAATAATGGGAGGATGAATAGAATCAGTTCAGTGGTTTCTGAGTTTGCCGCTTACAAACAATATTAGTGTTAATGAATCAATAAATATAAGAAAGAATACGAGTAATTAAGGATGATACTACAGGCGTGGAATGCCGAAATACGGTGAGCGGATATGAATGCGGATCCTGCCCTCAAGGCATGGAGGGAGATGGAAAAAGATGCAGACCAGTTACGTGTGACAGAAGACCCTGTTCACAAGGTAAGGAAGAACGATTTTTGTTGTTAGAGTATTAAATGTTTGTTTTATAATTATTTAAGAATGTATGTTGTTTCTAGTAACGATGATTGTTTGGCAAACGTCACAAAAACCATGAATATTACTTTAAATACATTTTCTGCTTTAATGTACTACAGTTTAAGGTCTGTTATGAATTCAGTATTATAATATTAAACTTCAGACACATATCTAAATAGTCAAATAGATATAAGCAATTTTTTTTTCATTAAAAATAAAATTAATCAAGTTTATTCGCGATTGACTACAAAAAACTATAGACGTTCAACTACCATGGTAACCTACCATGATGCGGAAAAAAAACATGTAGAGTTCAAGCTAGCGACTGATGCAAAACAAAGGAATTAAACTGACTATCACGTGACGCATTCTCTTCATATTGAAGTAAATCTATGGAATATTAATAAGTAAAAAGGTATTTTTGATCGATATTAGTGACTACTACGAGTACTATACGATTGTTTATTGATAACAGCTGTCCATACATACATTAAAAATATGTGGTATAAATCTTTGCTATAAAACATCGAAGAATTTTCAAATATCTACTATATATTTTTAAATATATAGCTAGACTACATTATATATTATTACGACCGGATGGCGTAGTTGTTTGTGTAACGCACTGCTATTCCACAGGTCGCGGGTTCGATTTCCGCTCAGGTCAAACATTTGTGTGCATGAACATTTAATGTTTGATTTGGTCTGGGTGTTTCTATGTATAATATGTATGTATTTACAAAAAAAAAGTATATATGTATTTATATCAGTTGTCTAGTAGCCATAGTACAAGCTCTGCTTAGTTTGGGACTAGATTGCGTTGTGTGAATGTGGTACAATATTATTATTATATATTAAGAAAAATGTTCAAAAGCACGCAGTTGTGACTCTTAAGGTGCAGGTGTTCATGGGCAACGGAAGTCTCTTACCTTACTTTAAATAAAAATTATTATATATTATTATATTATAAGGTACCATTCCATGTGCCCGATTCCCTTAAAAAATCAGGAACCGTATTTTTTCAACTCTATGTATGTAAATATGTAGATTTATGTCTGTAACGCACATAAATATATTCACAATTCTGATTTCATATTCGTATAGTGGAGCGCTGTGTCGATACTGAACGAGGATATCGATGTGAGAGGTGTCCCGGGAGACAGACCAGCGATGGAAAAACTTGTCGCTCCGCTTGCAGCCTCAACCCTTGTTTTGGCGGACGTAAGTACTATATAATTATGTGCCAGGACCTGCGTGATTCCTTCAGGCGTTCTTGAACTTACCCACCGACAGTTTTAGTCCTATCCTCTCTGTAATTATATTCAACAGGTGATTGATAAAATCGCTGTCACTTTTTCGTTCTCAAATAAAATAAACTCATCGTTTATAGATTTACAATTTAAAGTTATTGTTGTACTACAAGATTATCTTTTTGTCCAAATCAAATTAATATTGGTAGCGAGTAGTACGTCGATTTTCTGAAGCTTCTCTTTCAGATGCCTTAAATAGTCAGGATCCTTCTTTCTCGTATTAGGTAGCTTAGAAGACACAATTTTACTCGTCTAATTTTGTCTTATGCCTTCGTAAAGCTTGCTCAATAAACCATATATTATTTGTGACTCATTCAAGGCTTTTTTGACAGTCGACAGCAGACAGTCCCACTCAGGAGTGAGATAATGTAGTTTAATAACTTTAATTCTGCTAATAATAATCTGATAATTATTAAAGAAATGCAACAGACTTCTGCAATTTGGCATACGTACGAGTAATTATGGATCTTATAGCATATTCCAATACATATTGCAATGTATTCCAGGTGTACAATGCCAAGACCTACCGGATGGCGGATTTCAGTGTGCTTCATGTCCAGAAGGCTATCACGGAAACGGCGAGAACTGCTACAGGGTGTCATGCCGCCAAACCTCATGCTTTCAAGGTAACTAGTATAGTAAAAAAATAATGAAAGCTTTGAAGACATTTCTGAACCTTATGCAAATATTCGGGCAGCACAGGACCGGTTACTGTTGCAAACCTTGGGGAGACCTTTGTCCAGCAGTGGACGTCTTTCGGCTGAGATCATGATGCAAATGTATTGTTATTACGCAAAAGTTAGACCCACAGATGTGTGTGACGATAATACACATAAATAAATAATTTAAATACATTACGGACGGGTAATACGCGTACACATTGTTAGAGAAAGACCTCATGTAAAATATCCTAATAATAATAATGCAAACCGTAATTTTTATTTTTGTAAAAATTGCAAATTTCGGTACAGAAATATCATTTGACAAATTGGCGACATAACTATGATTTTGTTACTAAGCCAGAAGACATTGATGAATCTCTAGGTTTTCGTAAGTGTAAGGTGTTGATAGAATGTGTTGATTTGTAAGAAAATGTCCGCTTACAATAATTAAAACGTAAATCATTGAAACACAGGAAACATTCTTGTACAATGAACATTTTATATCACAACAGATAGGCTAATTTGTTTAATTACGATTTTAGGAGTGAAATGTCAAGAGTCGTCCACTGGTCCTCGCTGCGGCCCGTGCCCTGGCGGGTACAATGGCAACGGGCAACAGTGTGACCATGTATGTGATACGCATAAACCGTGCGACAGTAGGCGTTGTATCCCTCAGCCAACACCCCCTTTCTACGCCTGTGAAGACTGTCCCAAAGGATTTGAATGGAACGGTAAGCTACCATTAACGCCTAACGGTAACGCTGTTGGTACAAGGTGGCAGTAAATATTTGAATAAACTTAAAAATAAATGACTGTAACCAATAATAGAAAGGAGTAACATGTAAAACTATTTTTGTGACTTAATTTTTTTTTTATTGCATCTGAATTAGAATTAAAGGCGCCTTAGGAAACAAGTAAGATAAATACCAATTGCACGGATGGCGTAGTGGTTTAAGCGGTCGCCACGCCGCTTTTTACTACGCTGAGTGTTGTGGTTTCGATCCCCACATAAGACGACACTTTGTGTGCTCTACAAATTGTTGTTCTAAGTCTGGATGTTCTTTGTGTCCATTTCATGTATGTCTGTAAAGTCCCCCGCGACACTAGGTATATAAGTAATGCAGGAGTTGTCTTTTTTTTTTTTTTTTATTTTATAAATTTCAAATACATCAGATACAATAATAACAAAATGCACCAGACATATACCTAGCAATGCTAATGAACCAGACTCTGTAGTCAAATTGAACTGATGTACTATAAATGTTGGCAGTATGGTTCCGCTCACAATTTGGAATACTCTAAAAGTTTTTCCACCAGTCAGCATTCGATAAACCCTACGTCTCCGTTTCAGGCTATAACTGTGTTGATATGGATGAATGTGACCTCATTCGTCCATGCGACGAATTAGTTTCGTGCCGTAATGAAAAAGGCGGTTTCACATGTGGACCATGTCCCGCTGGATATGAAGGTAGCTCAGGGTGGAGAGGCTCCGGCGACGAACATCGTCGGGAGCAATGTATTGATATTGATGAATGTGTCGAAGGGAGAGCCAACTGTCCTCGGGGACGACTCTGTGTGAATACACCGGTAAGTTTTCCTTTGGAAGAAAAATAATTTCTTTTTCTCTTACTTTTTCTATACCATAGTTATGTTACGTATGCTAATAGAGTTTAGGTGTCCTTTTAAACTATTCCAGCTCTAATTGGAAAGCTTTAGTACTCTGTAAATGTAATTTGTTTTGGAGTTTAGTCTTAATTTGTCTACTGATCTTAAATGCGCGGCTATGTGCATTCAAATTTTTTTCAATTCAGACATAATTTTGAAGAAATTCCCCTTACATTGTATTGATTGTAGTATAAGTATTGTATTCTTGTGACCAGGGTTCTTTCACCTGCGTGCCATGCGGAGGTGGGTACTACGTTAACACGACCCGGCCCTGCATCGGTCCTGGCGAATTAGTGCAGCGCTGTGATCCTGCAAGATGTCGGCGGTATAACGCCGTCTGTGCATACGGAAACAAGTGTGCTTGCGCGGTCAGTGAGTTTTTATCAAAGTCTTTTTGTTTAATAATAATAACAAAACTAAGCAGAGCCCGTACTATGGTAAACAACCTGCTGATAAACCCAGTTAAATCATCAACTAGGTTTTGGGAATGTAATTACTTTGAAGTTAAGTTAAATAAATAAAAAAAAACACTAAACTTATATACTTCTAAATTCATACATGTTATAGACAAATTACGCCCAGACACAGAACAAAGGATTCCGCTCATCACACAATTTCTGTTCTCGGTGGGAATGGAACCAACGACCTCCGGCTTAGCAGTTCGATTCACTAACCACTAGACCAACAGGCCAAATAATTGTATAATAATCTGTTATTTTCCTTCAGCAGCAGAAAAAAATGAGTAATATTATTTTTCTTTTATGTCAATTAATCAGAGGTACATCAGTTTACGTTTCAAATGCCGCTTTGGTACTTAAAAGTTTCTGAGTTTTAATGTCAAACTAGATGAAAAGGAAACTTACTGATGTCTTTGAACTTATGATTATATTACATCATCAGCCTTTGATAGTCCACTGCTGGAATCATAGGCTCCTTAGAAAGGAGGTTTTGGCCTACGATTATAGGATGAGTGTAAAAAGATTGAACTTTGCCAAAAAGCTTCGCTTGTCAAGAGTTATAAGAAAAAAAAGAAAATATAAAAAATATTTTATCCATTAATTACTGTGCATATTTAACTTAAAATCTTAAAAATAAACTTCAAATTTATTTTCACCAGACCGGCTGGGCAGGTAACGGTACAGTCTGCGGTCCTGACAGGGACCTTGATGGTTATCCTGATCAACAGCTGCCATGTTCAGAAAGAAACTGTAAAGCTGATAACTGTCCCGAAGTTTCCAACTCTGGACAAGAAGACGCTGATGGTGATGGTATAGGAGACTCGTGTGATGGTGACGCGGATGGTGACGGTATACCTAATTTACCAGTAAGTATATAGTATGTAGGATAAATCTAAATCTACTTTTAAAGATGCATCAAGAACTAAGAATTTAATATAACGGAAGAGTTTGTAAACACTTGATAAATAAGTAAGGAACTTCCAAGTTCAGATTTTCCAAACGTGTAAAACACACAAATAGTTTTCAATGGTTTATTGTTAACAAAAAATCTGTGTGGTGAAGGATTAAGAAATGTCACCACTCACCACCCATATTCATTCCGTGGGTGTCGTCAGAGCCGACTAAGCAAGCAAGTAAGCAAATTACGCAGGACAACAGCACTGCAAAGAGAAGGGAAACTTGACACAAACGCTATACCAACCCGTCTGGCTAGCGTGGTAAAGTAGGCCAAAACCTAGAGCTATGTTTTTATTTTTAATTGATTGATACTAAGCTAGGTATTTGAGGATTAATGTAGACGATACGAATAGATATGCCATTTTTTATGTTATCATTATCATCATCTACAGCCTTTAGTAGTCCATTGGCTGGATATAGGCCTCTCCTTATAAAGGAGGTTTTAGCCTACTATACCATGCTGGCCAAACGGTTTGGTAAAGTGTTTGTGGCAAGTTTTTCTTCTCTGCATTGCTGTTGTCCTTCGTAGTTTGCTCCCTTAGTCGGATCTTATGATACCCATGGGATGATTAGGGGTGACGACACTCGGTATTCTTAATTCGTCACCACACGGACGCAAATCTTTCAAGTATGATCTAATTAAATTGTTTTATATTTTTGCTTTTATGTCATACTTGCATATACTCGTATAATATATAACTTCTAATGAACAACTTCCACCTTACAATATATTAAACGGATGCCTTAAACAACGTCGTATCTGCTTGACTTACTTCACGCATCTAAAAAAATATATACCAATGATTTGTAACAAAAATCTTAGGACAACTGCCCTCTCACCCCAAACCCTGATCAACTGGATCGTGATGAAGACCGCAGTGACAAACGAGGCGACGCATGTGACAACTGCCCTAGGAAGTACAACCCTGGACAAGAGGACACCGATGGGGATAGTATTGGAGATGCTTGCGACCCTGATATCGATAACGATAGTAAGATTAATATAATAATAATATTTTCCTTACTTTACTCAACGCTATACAACCCCAACTTCCCTTTATACCGCCGTGAGCGCTTCGAGCACTTTGTCCCCAGGAATAACCTCTGTCGCTCCTCCTCTTCTCTTCTCCTTCAAACACCTTGCCATAGGACAAGTTGTTAAGACAATTCCTTCAGTAATGCGGATGTGCGGCTACTCATCACCAGAACTGAAGATACCTTCTTTAATTTAGCATGTGTTGTGCAGATATTCCCAACGGTATTGACTAAGGATTCGCTGGAAGAAAACTCAGGTTTGGGTTAAACTCGCCTTTGTACATGAAATTCCCTTGAAATGAAATGATACTATTTGGACTACTATTACTATTTCGGACATCCGACACACTATTACATTTTAATACAACACTATAAAACTATTCCGTGTAGCGTTAATGCTAGGGAAATATATCTAGAACAACATATGGTACATATTTATATACTTACATAGTCCCTTTTAGGTAATGCAGACCGAGGATATTTATTGAACCTGGTAGAAATACCTCTTGAATTTGAATACTGAACACAAGTAAGTTAGGATTACTTAGTTGATATAATATAAAAGCGTAGATGTATAGGAATATAAAGGAATAACTGATAAATCAAATGAATTTAATACTACTATCACAGCAGTCAGGCTGGCAGGAGCTGAATGCGAGAAGCCCAAAATCGATCTAAGTGGCGTGCAATGGGAGAGGCCTATGTCTAGCAGTGGACTGCGATAGGCTGATCCTCGTCGCTTCAACCCCTTGCAAGAGGACTTGGATCGCGATGGTATTGGAGATGCGTGTGACAACTGCCCTCGCATCAGGAACCCAGAGCAAGAAGATGCAGACAGAGACAGTGTCGGTGATGCTTGTGATAGCGACGTTGATAGGGACACGTAAGTATTATGCACATGGATGATCTCTACTACGGCCTATATGATTAGACAGACGTTGTCCAGTTCGATGTATTATTGTGTTCTTTTGTGACTCCTGAGTTGCAGACGTTCATGGGCGGCGATGGTCACTTTACATCAGGTGACTCGTCTGCTCGTCTGCCCCTCTATCATAAAAAAAACAAAAAACAATTTGTATTAATTTCTTAGTTTGGGATGGCCTTATTAAAAAAAGGCTTTCTTTCTTAACTAGTGTTACGGAATGAAAAGTTGATGCATTCTGAGTTCATCCGAAATAAATATTAAAAACTAATCAAATATATCGGAAAAAATGATTCCAGTTAGATTCTTTAGGGCTAAGATCCTCTACACGAACTTTTCTTGCTATGACGTGACTTTCTTTCTTTTCAGTGATGGTATTCAAGATAGCATAGATAATTGTCCGACAGTACCTAACAGTGACCAACAGGATGTCGATGAGGATGGCAAGGGCGATGCCTGTGATGACGACGATGACGGCGACGGGATACCTGATGTAGAAGACAACTGTCCACTCATTCCGAATAAAGACCAGAAGGATTCCAACAGTGAGTTCAATTGCAGTTTTTTTGAAATTAATTTTGAATTAAACTAAGTATATATCGCAGACTTTAAAGTCTCTTTAAATTATTCTCTATTATAATTTGTACGACTTCTTCTTCTTGTCTTGTCTTCTTGTGTGTCTTGTAAGTCTTGGAACTCTGTCTACTTTCGGGGTAAGTGATTAAGGCCAGTCAGGCCCTCAGGTGAATTTTAAAAGAAAGTTTCTGTGGAGTGAAGTCTGCTGCTTGCCCTGCTTTTTTCAGCAGTATTATCTACCTCGCAAAAGTGTTTTGTTTTTTTAAATGTGGATTCTGTTCTAGATTCTGTTGTTCAAATTTGATGCATTTTTACGTTTTTGGATTATTGATCCTTTGAACAGATAATGGCATCGGCGACGCTTGTGAGGATGACTTCGATGGTGACAAAATACACAACGATATAGACAACTGTCCGAATAACTCTAAGATATTCCGCACTGACTTCAGGTAATACTTTACGTTAAAGCACAGAAATAATTACTAGCGCTGCCTTCATGAAGTGTAATTATTTTTTTCTTTTAAAATATCATAGATTCTATGTTATATAAAGACAATATTTACAGAAACTACATGACAATTCGTTTAGACCCAGAAGGCGAGTCCCAATTAGATCCCAACTGGGAGATCGCAAACCAGGGAGCGGAAATCTTACAGACACTCAACTCAGATCCTGGACTGGCTGTGGGTTTTGACAATTTTGGTGGTGTGGACTTCGAAGGAACTCTATTTGTAGATACACAGATCGATGACGACTACATCGGTTTTGTATTTGGGTGAGTAACAGGCAGTAACTGAGTAGTTTTTCCTACTATAGGGGGCTTGAAGCAGATGGGTGACCTGATGGTAAACCATTTATTTTTGGTATACAAGTTATATAAAACAAACACGGATACAGGGTACATTACAAAAATACGTCGTTAATTTTATAAAACTTAGGGAAAATGTGTAGCAAAGGCAGTATACGCTGTGCGAAAGCACTCGTTTTCAACTGGCTCCTGACATCTACGCCAACAGCTAGAAGTTAAACGCACACAGATAAATCGCAACAAAATGAAGATAAAATCTAAGAAGGTACATAAAATAAACTGATAAGAATGTACAACACGATTTAATAACTAGTACAAAACTAAAAAAAAGTATTTACGGAAAAGACGCAAAAATAGTACTAAAATTAAGGTAACAATTTACCTACATATGTAGGTTTCTACGAATTAACACAGAGGGTGCGTAGTTGCGTGCGGGTGATATATGACAACTGTATCCATGGACAATTTAAGAGAACCAAGTGCGTAAGACTGCCTAGAGGCCTACCTCGGGTAAGCTCACTCACTCGGTAAAAAGTAATCAAAGAATATAAAACAGCAGTTTCCTGTGACTGCGATGGACCGACCCATACATGCTGAAGTATGGCTGCCCCACGATTAAAAATACTAAATATCTTAGTTAATCCTACTTAAACTTCAAAGGAATGTTTTCTCTTTCATTTTCTTTCCTTTCTTTCTAATGATGTTTTGTGTCTGTTTCCACACGCCAAAATCAGTGTCATAAAATGATAACAATATTACATAATTGAAACTTTTTCTAGATATTTTAGGGTACTCGCCTCCCTATATTTGATTTTGTGTTCAAAGATGCAGGAAATCTTTTGTTAGGCGGATATATATATATAGACATATATATCATACAGGGACTGGCAAATGGTGTAATCCATGTTGTCGATACTGCACTATATAACTATCTCCAGGGCTGTTTTTTAATTCCATGTTAAACGCAGTATCTGGCCTTCTTAAGCGTGAAGTGGAGTCATCTTTGGAGTTGAAGCGATATAAGTACAAATTTTTGATTATCTCATGCAACAACTTGTGAACTTTATTATTTTTACAATCACGCTCTAAAACAACATCTGTCTACCCTTTTCTCAATTTTATTTGGGGTCGGCGCAGTATGTATGATTTTTCCATTCTACTCTGTCATGCGTCATTTCACTGTTTACTCCCTTCTTAGCCATATCCTCCCTCACGCAGTCCATCCACCTTTTCTTCGGTCTGCCTCTTCTCTTGTACCCTTCAACTCCCATACCTAAAACTTTCTTCGCCACATTTTCCTCATCCCTGCGCATGACATGTCCATACCAAGATAACCTATTACTTCTTAACTTTTCATCCAGTGGTGCTACTTTCAGACTCCCTCGTATATACTTATTCCTAACCTTGTCCATCTGAGTCACACCACACATCCATCTCAGCATTCGCATTTCGGCTACGTTCAGGCATCTCTCATCCGTTCTCTTTATGGGCCAACTTTCAGAACCATACAGGACGGCAGGTCTGATAATAGTTTTATAAATTTGTCCCTTCAGTGTTAAGGGTAAACTGGGGTCACAAGGTGTTCCCGTTACCTGCCGCCACTTCATCCATACCGTATTGATTCGATGCTGTACAGTTCGATCAATTTCACCATCACATTGTAAGAGGGTATCGGTCACGCTCTAAAATAAAAGAAAAATAATAAATAAAAAATTGATATAAATGGCGCTTCAAACTTGTTTGTTTTAGTTTAGCTTTCTACAATTCTTATGACAGTGTACAAAATGGATACATTAAAAGGATAATGTCAAATGACTGTAGACAAGGGTCTTTGTTGAAACTGCAAAACAGTGTTATTTTTGAAGGTATTTTCAGTGCAAATTATACTGCTTATGTGTATAACGAGGTTTCTAATACAGTCTGAACATAAGAACACATTTAATTTCGTCAGATGTTTGTTTGTGTCCGTGCGACTGCTCGGCCACAGAGTCGTAGAAAAAAAAACGACTACGTCAACATTACGAAGGAATTTGTAAAATACTAACAATGAAATTCGTAGAACCAATATTCAGAAATTTGTAAGGGTTTAACCATGGCCGCGCGGTCGAAGTATGGAGAACCGCGCGGCCACGCAGTTCTCTTAAACGGAGGTTAGTAGAGGCCCTACGCCTCTACTAACCTCCGTTTAATTATAGCATTTAAGTTCTGTAGGTCGTGAAGTCCAAGCCTTAGGGCTTTATTAGTACTGTCTACATTTTCTTCGAAATCGTATCAGTGGTTAGCAAAAAAGAGTAGGGCCTCTACTAACCTCCGTTTAAGAGAACTGCGTGGCCGCGCGGTTCTCCATCGTTCTCCATCTAGAGCAGTTGAAACGGACAGGTTTGTTTTGCGTACTTAGACTTTGTGTAATTAGCATTAAGAAGGTTTGAGAGTTACTGGTTTTATACGGTTTCAAGAATGATTTTAAAAATGGTTATTATTTTATACTCGTATTATGTGAAGCCATACAGATTTCTCAATCCATTTGAAATTGCTTATTAATGAAAATAATCTGTCCCTTAGTAAAGTATAAGCTGTCCGTGTGGTGACTGATTAACATTACGGAGTGTCACCAGCCCTGTTCATCCCGTGGGTGTCGTAAAAGTCGACTAAGGGAGCAAACTACGCAGGACAACAGCATTGCAAAGTGAAGAAAAAGTTGAAACAAACCCTATACCAACCCGCCTGGCCAGCGTATATAGTAGGCCAAAACCTCGTTTCTAAGGAGAGACCTATATCCAGTAGTGGACTACTAAAAATGATGATGATGAAGTAGAAGGTGCTCGAGTTGCCTGTCAAATAGTAGGTGAGATGTCAGATGCGACTACCGAAAGACTTACTGGTTTTTTGTATCCATGGTTTCTGGTAACGCAATTCACCAAAGTTGCCACTTTTACTTCTGTAGCGTCTAGTTTAGTTCTTTACCGCCGGTAGCAAAAATGGGCAGAATCAAGCTGGTAAAGATGTTTCTCCACGATTTTTTGTAGGTTGAAGATAGTCAATCAGTAAATTTAAGAAATCATTTTCATTTATCATTATTGTTTCCGTTATAAAAACTGCATCTTACTCTCCAGTTATCAAAACAACAAACGTTTCTACGTTGTCATGTGGAAACAGAATACGCAGACATATTGGCAGACGACGCCGTTCCGTGCTGTAGCTGAGCCTGGTATACAATTGAAGCTGGTGAACTCCAAGACTGGTCCAGGCAAAATATTGAGGAATGCTCTTTGGAATACTGAATCTACACCAGATCAGGTATGAATTTATCTCAATAAAACATTCACCAAATGAATAAACTTTGTATGCTTTCTTTACAGCGTATAAAAAACGGAACAGGTCCGTAATTTGTTTTTCACCGTCCTTTATAGACTGATTTAGACAATTTTATTTTATTTTGAAGGTTGTTTTTTCATTTTGTTTGACCTGATTTAAAGACTATTCCTAAAGACGACAAATTAAGAAAAGATGAAAATAGTTTCATTTAATTTCAGACAATTCTTTTTAAAAGTTCAGCGTCAGCGTCTCAATTTGTTCATATTACTTTTACTATTACTTAAGCTTTCCACCTTCCTAAAGTATTTAAATGATAAGTCTGATCTTTAGCACGTTTATTTCACTTGGTGAAAACTAACCGGGAGGTACTGATTTTATTGTAATAAACCTTTACTTAAACTCAATATGTCTCAAAAATCAATTTAATGCCATACACGGTATACCTTATAGATGTGAACAGTTTAATTTCTTCCTGGGACTTCCCGAGTGTCATAACTCGGTGTGTTCGTGGGTCACTGCTGTGGATCCTGGTGTACAGGAGTTACAGCGGTGGGCGTGTGGGTGGGATTAGTCCCCAAAAAAAAAAAAAAAGATGTGAACTGAAGTTATTTTTCAATAAAATACAGACCTCTTTCTTTATTCGAAAATTGAAATGAAAAAATCAGTCTTAGCTTTTCTCTCAAACAGAAAGCTTTTCTTTAACGGTTGATTTTTCAAATAAGAAAATTATGGAATCAAAAAGTAAATCTGTAGAGCCAATGATGTGTATAACAGAATTTAATTTGATGGATAAACGAATGGTGTTTAATTCTTTTTGGGTTCGCTTTTGGAGTAGATGAATATTTACAACAGTTTATAAAAGTCATGAAATCTTTCAGAAAGGAAATTTTGTTGTCTTTACACGTTGATATGACATTTGTTACTGAGTCCTTAAATAATACTTTCTACAGATTTTTTTTAACCACTGACGTCTCACACGGCCGTCTGATCCCAAACTAGGCAAAGCCTGTACTATGACCTGTACCAGACTGATGATAAACATACTTATACACTTCTAAATACATACATATTATGGATAAATTACACCCTGATACAGAATAAAGGATCGTGCTCATTAAACAATAATTTATTCTGGTTAAAGTTTTAAAGTATTAAAAAAGTAGCAATGTAACAAGCCCACATTTTTATTTTCAAAGATATTTTTAATTACGTTTCCTGATTACATACAAGCAGAAATAGCAAGTAATTTTATGTGTTATCATATAACTCCAAATTTATCACGAACTCTGAGTAAATAGTTATTCCGGTAGCAAGAATCGAAGCTGGTAACAATAATTGTTTACCCCTAAACCCACATTAATTAAAGTCACTAACAGAGTATATCACGTTTCTCTGAAAGAGCTTGTTAGTCTCACCCATGCATATTATGGATCCACGTTAGTCCGCTCATGAACAATGCAATTTACACTCCATTCAGTGCGGTGGGTATAAATGTCTAGTCTTATGTAGAACTATTCCCGTCACGTAAATATTAATAACACTTGGGTACGTAAAATAATAGAGAGTCCTCTTTATCCTACCTAATATTAGAAATGCAGATGTGAGTTTGTTTGATTTTTCCACTTACATGACTTAATTATAGAATTGATAATCGGGAAATTTTGCATATAGGTGTAAAAAAGTACGAAGGATACTTTTCACTCGAAAAACATTATGACCGATATATAAAAAAATAAGTTTAGACAAACGAAACCATATGTAAAAGTTAGTTTTAAATAATAATACTTTCTTTTGTGAGCGTTGAAACCCCTGCGAGCCGTCACTCTATCGGGGGTTTCGGTAGGGTTGTGTGGGAATCGAACTAAAAATAAGAGGGATTGGGAAACCGCTGTTATTGAGAAATCCGGAACTGCTTAATTTAACCTAAAAACATTGTTTGTTTTATATGTATGTGTAACGAGTATACACGTATTTATGTATATGTTGACAACACGTACTTTGCCTACAATTGCGAGCAAAATGCCACTAAATAATGTACAAATAAAATAAATAAATAAATAAGTGAAATATTATACAAATATTGGGAGATAGCTGTTTGACGTTTGTCAAACAAAACATGTTTTGAACTATTTATTTGAAATAGTTTTACCATTGAAATTTCTTTAAAGTTCGATAATTTTACCATCTCTGTCTGTTTTCAGGTAACTCTTCTCTGGAAAGACCCTCGCAACGTGGGCTGGCGTGAGAAGACAGCCTACCGCTGGCGTCTACTCCACCGGCCAAAGATCGGACTCATTCGTCTCAAGATTTATGAGAACAACAGGCTCGTGTCTGACTCCGGCAACGTGTATGACTTCACTATAAAGGGAGGCAGACTTGGAGTGTTCTGCTTCTCACAAGAAATGATTATATGGTCCAACTTGATATATAGATGCAATGGTGAGTATATATCTAATTCTAAATACAGAGTAGAATTACGACATCAATTGTTAATAGTTAATAATAAACAGTGTAAGTCTTAAATATTTCCATAAAAGGTAACTGAGCATTATTCGCAAATAGCAATCCTTTTTAACACGTTTGAGTTATTAACAACTTACATTTGATTATCTTTGTAAAAACATGTAAAGATGTAAAATTGCAAAACAAGTAACGTCACACTAGGCTTTGGCTCGTCAATGTGACCACCTGAGAAAAAGACAGGAGTGGGGTTAAAAAAAACCATGAAATTCGTGTCACGTGATTTATGGACGGCCCCTTAGTTGACCAGTTATGTGTATGCCATTCCCACCAAAACCCCTGTCATTAACTGAAATGACCATTTTTAACCTAATGATAGGTGTATTATATTATTTACTATACGTCTACATTTGTTCACAGATAAGATCCCATCGAATATCGCTTCAGAAGTATCAAAGAGACACCACTTTGAAGTTGATCACGATTTATACTATGTTTAGGTAATTAATTTGTATAAAATTAACTATCATACGACAAAACTGAATTAAGGAACTGTTCCTAGCTCAATAACCACTGCTTTCCTGAGAAAAAATAAATTGAACTTTTTGCTGATTGAAATAAAGGACAAATGACTCGCATAAAGAAATTTGTTAAAAAAAAGTGTTTAAGAGCGTCATGATATCGGTTACGACAAATTAAGTTGTTTTAGCTTAAAAAAAATGTTATTTGTTAAAAAAAATATTCACATGATGCTTTACTTAGTGCAGGGCCACATTTCTAAATAACATACTAATTTTTAGGTTGATTTCAATGTTTTTATATTTTTCTGCAAACATTTTCAGAAAAAGCCTGGACATTCCGTCTAATCTTTCATGTTAAAAAGCATTCCAAGCCTCTCATCCGCTTTATTAGACAATGATCAAATTCAATTTATCACTTTGAAATTAAATTTCCTGAAATCACAAATTCTCCTGATATTGTTAGCGCTTTACGTTCTTACGCCTCTATAACGTTATACGACTATAAAGTTAAAATAAATGAAATCAACTTTAAATATAATCACGATGTAATACACGAGAACTGAGAAGTCGATACATTTCTTACTCCCATTGTGTAAGTCGCAAACAAAACTAATTGTGCAAGTAATGTAATGTGTACAAATTTTAGAAACAAATTAAAAAAAAATCAGTGGAGTGCCGACATGAATGACTATATATCTATGTTGTACGTATATACACTCTATTTATATTTTATATATAGTTATATTATCAATGTATTTCAAACCAAACTCAACTCTCTTGTAAACGGGGCCATTATAATGTAGATACTTATATACCGAGGTGTCGGTAACGGTAATAGTGTCGCGAGGTCAATTGTTTTTTGCCTTCTCAAAAAATACATTCTTTTGATAGTTTTTTTAGAAGATTTTTCCCAACCCAGGCATAAGGCATTATTCTTAGAGACTGTTGGAGTAGGTTTTTGAGCTAACACTGCCTGTTCTTAAATCCAGTTTTGCTGTAGATGATAACAGACAATGCAAGTATAATTAAAAACTAAAATATTGACCAGTTTATACTCTATGGCGATTTAACAGCCCTCTAACAGTGAAAAAAAGTGCAAAGAGGATTGTATTCCCGTATTTTGAGGTGATTGTAGGTAATTGTTCGTTGTTACAAGAGTTTGATGTTCATTTTATATTTAAGTTCTAACAATTTAAATGTATTCAATAAAGATACATAATTATGATACTGTGTTTAAATATATTCATCGTGGGATCATCATTAATCATCACATACCAACTTAGCACATTTTCGTCGGCTCAACCAGGGTGATGGGAAAACCGGTACTAAGTAGCGTAAACCACAAAGGTGACATAAAACCGGTACTGAGTAGGGGAAAACTATACAATGATTATCACTTTGAGGATTCTTAGATCACTCATTGGCACTAACTTCAAAAACTTAAAAAGTTCTGCGTAGATTGAATATTTTTTAACACATCAATCCTTAATATTTTTGCTTGAAATTAAGAGTGCCATTGACTAATGAGATGCCAACAATAGTACAGCTTACCTTAATACGCATCGTTGCTTTTGACCGAGTGAATGATGTTATCAGAAGCTTAACCGTCCAAATTCTCAATCGGCAACGCAACTATGATATTACGAGTATATACATACAAGAGGCAGACACACCACCAACGCACAATACGTAAAAGTCCTAATTAGGACAACAAAAACGCTCGCACGTACTAATTAATTCGAAAAAATCATAGAATGCCTTCTGTGGCAGTACTAATTACAAATAGCTGTCTTTTTCACTCTCGTGCTTTCCCTATTTCCTATCGCACTTTTAGCGTATGCTTTGTTCTAAAATGCATTTATAGATGTATGTAGTCTTACGGCATAAATATTTTGTGCGTGCAGTATGAATATAACGTATTTTCCTTTAAATATCATTGCAACGCAACGTCTTTTGAGTTGCGAGTGTTTATTGGCATCAATTTACCACCAGGTGACACGAATGCTCTGTTTTGCTCCTAAAATGAAAGCTTTGACGCTCACGTCGTTGCAGTAGATATTGTTGGTAAGCTTTTGTAAAACAGCAGATTTTTCCACATATTTTTTTAAATTTTCTAAAACAGTTTAATAGCGCATATATCGAGCCTCTATAATATACTGGCTTTTACACACGGCTTCGCTGGCGTTAATTTTGTCGAAAAACTATTCGGAAAAACTTATTTCAAACTATAATCATAATCTCTATGTCAAATTTTATCTAGATACGTTCAGTAGCGTTCAGTAGCTCTGGCCTGATTGACAAACATTAATCATTCCAAACTTTCGAATGAACATTGTGTACCTTTCAGAATAGTTTACCTCAATTCCGTTAGATATTAAATGTCATTTAAGTAGGTACAAATTTTACCTTTTTTTGTATGAAATGAAATTGATTGTTTGTTTTGTTTCCTTGTTTGTTTGTTAATCTCAAGAACAAAACAATTTAATGGCAATTGTAAATTAAAAAAAAAATATAGTCGTTATCAATATCGTAAACTATTCCGTGTCTCTTTTCTCCACACGTTTTTTCTAGCAGAGGGAAACAAGACAAAGCATCTCAGAGCAATCAATACAAATAATATATTCTAGTGCGTTTTAGTTCTTCTATTGGTTATTTTGATAAAATTTACTGGATATTTACATTAATCATGGTTTTTGATAATGTTTTTTATTTGCTATGCACAATATGTTCAATGGTAAACAATTTGTCACTGCGGAAATAATTAGGACACTGTTACTAGATAAATGAATAAACAAGGCGATTGTACTCCTTAATCACGTTTTATTACTTCATTTCTTTTTTGCTGCAACCCGACGTACCGTCTGGAAGATCCTAAATTTACAGAATAAAAAAATACTGCAAACTATTTTTTATTTAACCATAACTTTAGATTTACTATATATGTTTTCTTATAACATCCTACAGATCAATTCCTATCCTTCTAGAACGTATAAAACCTCTTTATCAAAAAAAGTGAGTTTAAAAGTAAACCACCGCAAGACATCCATATTTTGACATTGTCTCAAGCACTCAAATACGTGCATTGACAATATATTTTTATTTTATATTTATATATTTTTACACAAATAATGGATTTCCAAGACATGGATGACCAAGTCCTACCTGATGTAAACGTAGAGGGCATTCTAAACCAAATAAAATCAAAGTCCGATTTAGACTCCAAAGCATCATCAGATCCTTTAGGTGACTTGAAATTGGATATGAATAGTGGAGACGGATTAGTCAAAGAGCCCACAGCATCCGCAAGTACATCTAAGAGCATAACTAGTGCAGCGAGAACCAAGAAAATACACGAATTCATCAGATTTCTGCGCCCGAATTTGCCGAGAGAATCAAAAACCAAAGCTTGCAAACTAATGAAAAGTATTGCAAAAGGAATAATTGTGGAAACTACGATTCAGCGTTCGTTTCCCAAGAAAAAAGTTGTAACGAAGCGTATCCGTAAACATCGAACGAAGAATTCCAAGCGCAAATCTTCAATTGGTTTACGCAGAAGCTTCCAAAGCATGTACGAATCTTCGGAATCTGGCAGGTCGGAAGGATGTAGATCGCGACATTGGACCAGATGTCGCCCAAATCTCTGTTCACGCTGTGGATATTCCTGTAGCAAAATTCGAAGATATTAATTTCTTCAAATGATGTTAAAAAAAATCTTTTTATTAAATTTATTTTTTATTTCACATTAATATACTAAACTTATATTGTAAATATATGATGAAGTTTTGTTGAATACAATAGACCGAAACATTTTTGGCCGAAAAATTAATCGATGTTCTAGCTGTTTTTTATACATTAAGCGATTTCAAGGTCCAAGATATATTAATATATTGATATAATATATTCTTGTAAAGATTTTTCGCTGTAAATTTGCATTGCAAAGGCAATATATATTATCTGTCGTTACTTTGGATTTTGCAATTTGGTTACAAGGGCCTCAATTCTGCTATTTTAATATTGTATTAATAGACAGTCGATGGACTGTCATCAGAATAGTTTTGCACTTTTCGTATTCTACTAACTGTATAAGACCAATGGCCTCCCGATAACAAATGTCTTTCTAATAGTTTGGTAAACGGCTAAATTTGTAAGACATTGATTTATTTAATTTACCGGAAATGCCAATGTTGTTGGTATCACCATTGATGAATAATAGTCAGTACATCGACAGTCTATTAAAACTGAATTTATGCTTAGTACAATAAGTACCGATATTTTGATCGTGATCAATGGCATCTCAATTATATTGCACTGACAGGTGTTTGATCCAAATACCTTATTTTATAAATGCAGCTTGCCTGAATTTACGAGGCACTTTTCATAAGCTCAAGGACGGCGTATACATATTCTTGGCGCGAACAATGTTCGTCATGCCCTTTTCCGACTTTACCGACCGTCGGAAAAGGTCATGACGAACATTGTTTTAATTATTAATGTAAGAGGACGTAAGTTATGCGCATATATTTTCTCTTATGTTTTAAAAACTGTCTTCTGTCTTATACTGTTCCAAGTATAGCGAAATCTTCTGCATTTGTTATATTTAAGATTCATAATAGTTCGCTCAACTTGGAACAATTCTTTAACCCATTCTAAAGCCTGAAAGTTTTTTTTTTTTAAGAAAAGACAAGCCAAGGTGAGAAACTTAACTGTTACCAATAATAAATTAACAATAAAACTAAATAAATCCGTCAAATGTTCTCCTTCTCGGACTTCAATTAAAAGTTATTTAGAAGTAATTTATTTACATAAGAATCGTTTGACTTTCCAGAAACTAATTTACTACAATAAACAATTTAATTTCAGTTCTAAATTGTTTCGTTAAATATCGATGGTTTCTTTGCCATTCATTCAAGATAACAATATTGTGTAATATACCCGTATTGACAAATATAGTCGTATATTAAGTTACTAGCGATCGGTCCCGGGCTTCGCATGGGTGCAATGTAGATACTACTGATACTACTAATGTGGAGGCAGTGTGGAGTAATTAATTATACTAATATTATGATAGGACATAGCATATGCAATATTTATAGGCCAATCCTGCCGGCCTCTGCCACTCGCGACGGACGTACGGCTCTAAGAGGCGACAGCCTCTTTGACCCCGCATTTTCAACTTCTAATATCTTCTAAAATATTAATTTTAATGATGTGCTGTAAAGAGCAATTTTAAATCTACATTAAATGCGCAACGTATCTTACGTATTTTATTAGATATGGCATAATAATGTATTGTTTTAAATAGCTTCGTAAATAGCCAATATTTAGGAGGGTTATCCTTAGGAGATAGACATACACCATCGTGGACTTTTTTGTAGATCTTTTTAAGATATACAATTTCGTAGCACATAATTTTGATCTATGTCGTTAAAAATCATGTTTTTAAGACAAATCTATGAAATTCTCGGCTTTTCCTTTCTATAATATTCATGTACATTCACCTTCCTCTTGAATCACTCTCTCTATTGGTGAAAAGTGCATTAACAACCGTTTCTTAGTTTAAATTTTAAGCATACCTACAACACAAAAAAGTGACTATTTTATACTAAAAGTCTTGATAAAGATAAGTCTTGTATATCATTATCATAGATGTTTGTTTGAATACTTAATGAGTTGTAATATATTCTTTATACCTTAATTTTTTTCCCCCTTGGAGGTGGTATTAATTTTAATTACAAATAGATTAAGGATAATAGTTAAAACAAAACATATAGGTAAGGGGCGATGCGGTGTGATGCGCCAGTGGTAATAATTTATCATTTCTATTATGGGAAATGTTATTCTTTATAATAGGGGTTGAAGTACGAAATTGCCATTGTATAGTAATCAATACTTTAAATTGACATAAAACCTTCATTATGTAATACATTCAGTCAAAAAAGTATCGGGCATGGATGATTTATGGTACCAAATTCAAATTTTTGATATCTTTTTTTTGTTGTTAGATTTGCACAACTGTTTTCCATTTTGGCGCGGTTTGAGTTGCATCTGTTATTTATATTAAATACATCACAGTTCATACGTAGTTATATCATATCTAGTGTGTATTGCGAATTTCATAATGGACAAAAACATCGAACAAAGAGTTTGTCTTAAATTTTGCATCGCCAATGGAGTTTCGTGTTCGGAGTCACTGAAAATGTTACAGAAGGCTTACGGTGAATTGACTTTATCAAAAACACGTGCTTATGAGTGGTACAAAGCGTTCAAAAGCGCTCGAAATATGAAGGAAGATTTGCCTCGCTCTGGTATGCTATCAACGTCTGCAACTGAAGTTAACATCGCAAAAGTGAAGGAAATAGTGACTGAAAATCCTCATTCAACTTTGAGAGAGATAGCCGCCGAACTTTCTGTATCTCACGAGTCGATCCGTACCATTTTAACTAATGATTTGGTCGCATGAGAGTCGCTGAGGACATGCTAGAACGAGTCAATTCCGAGCAAGTTGATTCTGCCAGTTGTTTGACCAGATACTGCTTTACTTTTACTTTAAAGGAAAAGGTATGTATTATAAGGTATATTTGATATGGGGGTAAAGTATTCCTAAAGAAATAAAACCACTAGTTATAATATCACAAATATATTTATTTTACCATTGTACATACGTTATATAACTCAGATGAAGTAGCTCCATAACTCTGAAGTATAATGGATAAAGTTTAGAATAAAATATCCCAATAAGGACAAGTCGTTCTCATAATTAAGACATTGTGCTAAAGATGAAAATGATTCAAAGATAGATAAACTATGAAAAGATTGTGCTCAAGTAAGCTTTGGGATGGTGGAAGCGCTTGGCTCACTCACAATTCATCATTTTGGTATAAAATAACAATTTCAACATTTACACAATATGTACAGTTATATTATTCACTAGTTTAAAATATTTAATAAAACTACATGGAATAGAATTGAACTAAGGAACAGAGATGCTCAATTTCAGGGTAAATTGAATCTAATTTCATATCTGTGATACAATACTAAGTACCTACCGTTTTGGGTCAAACTTTTAACGTCAGTTACACTAACCGAAGTTTTACAATGACAATTAAAATCTAATTAAACTTAAAAGTGATTGTAACAAAGGCAGAAAGCTTCCAACCGATTGTTTGATAATATTAAAAAAAGACCCATATTGGATCAAATAGACTGCACGTAAAACGTAAAAAAATGTTTAAAATAAACTCTAAGGCCAAATTCGATGGCCTACAAATTGAATATTAAACACGACTTTAAACTATTTAAACCATTCTATTGGTATTAAATATGAGGCATTATCAAAATTTGGCCTAAGTATAGTTTCTGCGCTAGCGGTAGTATCGCCGTTATACTTTTGCTTCTTACTGGATTTTATTACAAACCAAATTGTGTAAATTTACTAAAATAACCTTATTGGTAAAATATCCGATCTAAGTTTTTCACAATACCAAAAAAAACATTATTTCTTTCGTATGCATTTGACAAATGGATAAGTTGATCCAAATTTATGATCAGCAGACAAAGTAAATGGTGTCAGTATATAAATTATTGCTTCAATCAGGATATGATAATACCCACGGAGCATAAACTACTTTTGGTAAAAGTAGATAGAAATGATGTAAAAGATGTTACAATTTCATGCAGTAAAATTACAACAGTTGTTTATTGTTCATGCTCCGTTATAAAACACCTACTATTGATCCATTTAAACTAATATAATTTATTGCGTCTGTTCTTAATAACACATCGATGCTTAATATTATAATAATCAGTAGTCCGTAAACTTCTAATAAATATACAATAAATCACCATCTCATTTTATTTCATTTCTCTACATTTATATACAAAGATGAAGTCCATTTACATCGTACTGCAGTATACTAAAAAAATGGTAGTATTTGCACATAATATTTGGTATAATTGAACACATTGTGATGACTGTTGTTTGTTGATAAATCAAAATAAAATAATATTGTTAAAACAGAGTACAAAAGTGCAGAGTTTTACTTAAAAGTGTATTGTTTTGTTTGTATATGGGATCAAATCATGTTCGTTATTATCATTCATAAAGTTAACGTGTTGGCGCACGTCAATTTTGACTTGTACAAGTTGTCATTGTCGGTCAATTTTTTGTGTGTGCAGCTTTCAACCTATATAAATCTGAAGTAGTTCATTGCATATTGGTCATACTGGTCACCCTACATCCCATGATATTATTATTAAAAAATACACTGTTCAAACTATTAATAATAATATCTTTTTCGAATAAGGTTAATTTCAGTTACATTAACATATATTTTTAATGTGTGTTTAGATAAACGCATGACAATGCATTAGGCTTGTATGTATGCCTAATATGTATTTATTATTCTGATTTTTTCGCAACATTACATTTGGCAAATTCAGATCTCATTTTACCAGAAATTATAATTAGGATTTACTCTACACTTTAATACATTTTGACTTACGTTATCAATTTATTAAGTGTCTGAAAATCAAACATTCATAAACAAATAAAATACATGTACGTAATAGCTAATTAAATCTGTTGCATTCGTTGAGAAAATTGTCACAATTCTTCGTTTTAAATCGACGAAATGTAAGTATAAAATTGATATTATGTACTAAATTTTACGTATCTTGAAACGCCAGAAATCTTTAATGCAAGTGAAATGAAACGTTTATATATATTCAACTACAAGAACATAAGACTGTTCTATTTTAGTAATTGTATTTGATATGTTAAAAGTGTTACATACTGAAATTATTTAGTAGTGCTCACTTATATAAGCTTTAAGAACGCGTTAACTTTTTAATAGCTTCAACATTTTATATTAAAAGGATCCGACTTAGGTTATACACACTACTTCCTAACATATTAACTTCAGTACCATCATTTAGTATATATTTAAACCTTTTAACTCTGACAACAGTATTTACATCGTGAGCACTAACTTGTATTGTCGTTTGTCTTTCCTTTAGTTTTTACTTCTGAACCGTTTTTCTGTAAACAATATTATATCTCTATAGATATAAAATTGTACAGGCGCATTGGCCTGAAGCATCTAACACATCTATTAGAGGCTGAGTCAATAGTAAATTAATAACGATGTTGGTAATTTTTGGGCATTTCTTTTTATAAGCCCTTTTTGTGTAAAAAAACAAAAAATATTTTATTAAAGAGGAAAAATTGAACAAATAAATTTACTTCTAATGAAATATCGCGCTAAAACACTCGCATCGCATTTGTTTGCTGTAGTGAGTGACGTTGTACTCAAGAGAGGCGATTCAATTTTCTAGGACAGCTGGTGTTTTAACTGGTATTAAAACAGCTCTATATTTAAAATAGTAAATTATATGCGTTTACTTGAAGATAGTTTTTTAAACCCGAATACTGATGTTTTCAAGTTGCCATTTCAAGGATAAACACACATTATGTAATGATTTTCTATTGGAACGAAGTTCCTTATCGCGCCGCTCTGAGCGGATGGGAGCAAGAACGAAAGTTGTGTAACAAGACTTTTTACCGACACTATTATTTATTATAATTACTTATTATTACTTTATTATAAATATATATATAATTTTTTGGCTCTCCTTGAAGACCATCTTTATTTTTATATGTGTCTCTCTTTACCTGACTATTAGCTGATTAAATCGTACCTTATTCAATTAACAAAAAAGTCATATCAATAAATTCATATCAACGCTTGAAAGGCAACCCTCACAGAGTAACACAAGTACGAAAAAAGGAGTAACATAAACGCAGAAAAACCTGTTGAGTCAAATGGCGGTATGTATTGTGCGTATCGAGAATGTCGGCCTAGGGTCTGCCGTAGACCGATGGAGACCGTGTTTCAAGAAGTCCTAGTCGCTGTTCCTAACATTTCCATTTTAAATGGACTCTTTTCACATTACACTTTATTTTATGTACTCCTTATTACGTTTTGTTGATTTATTATATTTATTTTCTGTTAAATAAACCATGTTGGATCGCGTGTTAGATGCTTCAGAAACGGGACTATCTTTAACCAGGACAAAGTTCGTATTATAAAATTGTCCAGGACCCTAATCTAAGTGAAACGATACAAAATTACATGTATTGGACCATGTATCTACTATATATGAAACATTGATTTTTAGCTTATGTACAGCATAACCTAACTTTAACGAAGATCAAAATACCATAGAGTTTAAGAAAATTTTACAGTCGCAGATTAAAAAATATATTATGTGTGATTTTGCATCTATAATAAACACATCATAATAAATGACTACAAATATATGTATATATAAAATAATATTGTCGGTAAGTCCAAAAATTAAAAGCAGTCGAACAGTCAACTGGTTTTAAGCAACCTTTCATGAATTTGGTGCCAAAATTAACGTCACAATAAATAAATTGATCTTAAAACATGTTACACATTCGTTTCTGAAACACCGAAAACATTTTATATTACGTAATATTTATATCGAAGTAATCTAATCCAGAGGATTAAAATTTTACAAAAATTTAAAGGCTGTAATTGAGAAATTCCGATATGGTATGTTTTAGAATTGTGTTCAATTCAGTCTGATAGCATCACACAGTCGAAGAAATAGAATTAAAGTAACCTGCCAACTATTTACTATTACTTTGAAACATCCACAACTTGACCAAAGTAGCAGTTTTGTTAAATATTGTTTTAACGAGAGAGAAGTTTCCATAGCCCTATTAACAAACTAGATTAGATCAATAAATCAATAAATTACTTAGATCTTTTGCAGCAACATCTAGGAGACTTTTTTCTTACGGAGCATCATAGTATATAATGTCTTATTTTATCATGTTTTCTAAGAAAATTTTAATGTGTCTTGTCTAGTTGTAATAAAACTATGGTCCAGGTAAGTTTTACTTTAGCTAGTACCATGATATTTAGTTGGCAGGTTATAGGTACAGCAGTACATCGAAGGGGCCCCAAATGGCCTAACTAGAGCTCTAGTATTTCAAAATCTATTATCAGTAAGTATTTGGTGTTAGTTATTACGGCCAATACTTCACTAGCGACAGTCCTTCACTGTTCTTCATGCAGTTCAAAATATGGAGTACTTTTAAAGGCTTCGGTTTTCAGCTGGATTTACCTGTAGAGTTTAAAGTTACAGTAAGCGTCTGTAAAAATAACGGGATAATGGCCTACTCTTGTTTAAAAATGCCTTTACTTGCACTGACTTCATCTTTGCAGTAGTTTCCCTTTCTCTAAATTATGGTTTTAGCAGAAGCGATATCTGGTTCAAGTTTTTATTTAAAATTACTTGTCACGGTTACAGATGCACTCATCGCAGAAATGGTATATTCCAGAAACTGACCAAAAATGGTTATCATTACAAGAATTGTAGACAAATCTTTAATAACATCGTTTTTCTAAACATTGAAGTAACGCTTTACAAGTACATAAATGAGTTTTAATTGTATATGAATTCAGATAATTATGGATAGTCGATTAATTCATTTAATTGGCATTATTAATTTGATCAGTGGTTAAATTGAATTGTCACAACATAGTTTAATTAAGGGTACAGTTGAGTTATAAATTTGATATTTAAATCTAAAAATAGTAATTTTACCGTTTATACAAGTACAATGAATTTGAATGCGGCATTTTATGCTCATAATTTTATAATACACACAAAAATATACATGTCTTTTAATGATGTAAGCAGTTTTAGGAATACTTATTTTATAAATTAAACGGCACAGGAATACTGAATGAACTCTAATCATGAATAGACAAAATAAATAGGTACAAGGTTAAAAAAAAAACTAAGGTATGTTGTACTCCTCACCTAAGGTCCGCTTACTTCTAACACATAGTCTCGGGGCGAGCCGGTGTAGGGGGTTGTGGTTGCGAGGGTTGCTCGGCCGAACGTTGTCGCGGTAGCTGTGAAGAGTCCAGCACTATTGATGGACGGGGAGGCAGGTTCTCGCTCACCATGTGCGACAGGGACAGTTCGCTCGAAGCGTTCGTGTCGGCTGCATAGGGATTTTATTATTTTAATGTCACTCAATCAACCGTACAAAAATATTATGGAATATCTCTTTTAATTAAATTGCCACAGTATGATCTTTCAGATGGTTTCATCATCAATAATTATCAACAGCCTATTAAAGGCTAAGTGCCGAAATCAGGATGTCAACAAATCGCCTTGCATTCAAGGGAAAAGTGCGCGATCTTCTTCGGGGTGAATTGGCGAAATAGTTACAGCTCTAGTTCCCGACTGAGTATTTATATATTTTATTAAATTTATGTAGGTTTATGTATGCATGTGTGTTTTTATATTGTGTATGTTTCTGGACCTAAATTATGTTAATATCATACTTTATTTTGCACCTACCGCATCATATTTCTACATCACCTGAAGGTTGACTGGGAGAGAATGCCTAATGGCATTAAGTCCGCCTTTGTACAATATGTGCATTAAGTTTAAAATAAATAAATAAATAAATAAATAAATAGTCTACTGCGGGAAATAGGCCTCTCCTCAGAAAGTAGGTTGTAGCCTACTATACCACCCTGGCCAGAGGGGTTGTTATAGAGCATCTGTCAAGTTTTCCTAGTACATATTATTCTCTTAAAGGAACCTAACTTGTGACGTCACACACAAGGTAAGTCGAACCAAATCGAGTAGAGTCCCTATATTCAAGTTGTTTTACTTTTTGATGTGTAACATTTCCTCTCGCTGTCCTGAAATCTGTGGTAGTAATTTCGTAAAAAAGGATGAAAGTGTGTAACAAGATGATTTATTGTGTGCGCTTCCCGAGTTTCCTCTCATTACTCAAATGGAATATGATTTGACCAATGAGCACGGTGCTAGTTAGCTGTCAGATGTTAAATGTCAACTGTCACATTATATATGCGACTATTACAAGACTCCCTGTTTTTACACGCTTTATATTAGCTTCACTTGTATGTTTGTATATTTGAAACCGACTCCTTTGGGCGTGGTTTTGACTGACTTTAAACGGTCAGAATTCGTTCAAACTTTGTAGATATATCGAGGACCGATGACAATACACTAATTAAAAAAAAAGAAAAAAAGAAATATAGTTTTAAAAAACTAAAAAACACGCTTTCTATAGAAAACCAAACTAAAAAATAGAAAATGAATTTGAAAAAAAGCGTGGGGTGCTTTTTACCATTGACAACAAACAATTGAAAACAAATTTATTTTAATAATAAAAGATAATTTTACAATTGATTATCCTGTACTTTTCATTTACTAGTGGGGTTTTCTGACCGTGACGTAAATTCTATTTGTAATTAATTAAGATTGATTTCGATCTAATAATAGGTGGATTAACAGTTAATTAAATGGTCTCTATCATTCTACACCGAAGTCTTTTCAGAAAATAAAAGGTCACGTTCTTTATTAAAAGGATCTTAGTTCATTTTAAGAAAACATCATTTAAAAGTAAATGAGTCCGAAGGTAATGTTTCGTACTGGATTTTTGTAATACTTTTTTATGAAAGCTTTTTTCTACGGGCAAATTATGTATCAAAATTTGTATAGTTGATGCTCAAAGCTCAGTATATTAAAACCATAAAAATATCAATTTACAGTCAGGGGTTTTCTTTTATTGCTGGAGCACAGGGGAGTCAAAAGTGACAACACTGGTCATCTATTACCTTGATTTTGCAACTCAGTTGTTTTCAAATACTAAACGTTTCAAATACTCAGATCAGCAAAAGTGTTTTGACCAAAAATAAAACTGACCTTTTCATTAAATGCGAGTTTTCAATGTAAAATGTAACATGAACAGACGGTAGATCTTTTTATACGGTTGGAGTAGATGAATCGTAATTCTAGTATACACACATACCAGATGGTTGCCTCGGGACTGGAAGCAGCACTTCTCCACACGTTTCGTCGTCTAACAGCGGCTGGAGGGGCGACGGTAGCTCTCGGCTGTCGATGGCTGATGACCTTCTCAAGGAGTGCCTAAGTAAAAGAATTAACCTAAGTCGTAAGTGACGTGATATTTTATCACTAATGAGACTTAAGAGAAGTAGATTTTCAAGAAAAAGTAAAAGTCCAAAAATATACTAAATGCAATACTATTATGGATATTTTTTACAAAATATTCTTTCAATAAAGATATGTAAGAGGGATGACTGAAGAAGATATATGTGCTGTGCTTACAATATGTTTATTTTATTTACAAAATATTTGTGCAAACTGTCTTTAAGTTAAATAATTTCTTCTTGTCAAAATAAATTACTAAAATAGAAAATATTTTCAATAACTCGTAATAGTTTTATTTTAAGATGTATATTTATTTATAAAATCAACATTAAAAGTGAATTTACCAATAGTAAGAAGCAGGGATAGTGAGATTTGAACTTAACCTCATGAGGTTTAGTAAAAAGATACTTGATACTTGTTTAAGTCAACTATTCCATTATGAGAATAATCAAAGAAAAACAACCGTAACATCCCTACATTGTGCACTAAAAAGTCGTTCGATATATTCGCACGATACGATACTTAACTACAGGCATTAAAATACGTTTGTTAATATTCAAAGGTGAGTTGAAATGTTTTTGCTAAGTGCGTATTTAACAAAGTTCAATTAAAAATTATAATTTGACATTTGTAGATTTGAAAATATAAACTGAGGTTTAGATATAATTTTACTGTGAAAAGTCAGAGTTGAAAAGTAAGAACGTGGGTGTTAATATGCTACTGTTTATTTCCGATTCGCTTTATCTTGCCTGTAACACAATGGAGGACAAAAACCTAAGATATATTAAACACTTAAGCATTTGAGCGGGAGTTTAATACTTTTGTCAAGTGTAAATAAAAAAAGATGTAAAAGTATTTTGCAGTTGACAAAATAAAGCAATCTCTGTCTAGACCGTTACAGTTTATGTTTATTTATAATATGTTTGTTCAATTCGTTCGTTCGTAAAAAAATATATAATATTATTATATTTTATTATATTTAGCGACCCATTTAATTATAATTCATGTCGCAAGTTAATATGGTTACAGAATTGGCGTCAACGAAATGTTATTTATTTAGAATGAAAAAGTATGCGTTGAAAAGATGAGAAGTTAAAAGATTCATAAATGATCATCGTTTTATATCTATATTTGGTAGCACATGTATATTCCAGACACCGCAGTGTCTGACACAGCCAACTCTCATTGGAACTTACAAAGGAAGGACAGGACTTTTTATTAAGTCGCAATGCGGTGTGACCTAAAACTAGTAAGACTCTCTCGAAACACAAACGAGAGTACAACAATATATATTTTGCGCAAGGATGCCACGCAAAATCGTGTAACGTTCCACATTTTTTTATTTTAAGCAAGTAAGGAGATTGAATCATGGTATGGTATATTTATTAATACTTATTTTCTTGACTCGACGACGATTGCTTGACGATATTCTTGACTCTCGGATTTTATTATACAAAAATATAGGTTGAGAATAAAAGCTGGAAATTAACTTCAGTAGTGAGAAATAGAAATAGGAATGTGATAATAAATAAAATAGCTTTGTACAGTAAAGTGCAATCAAACGTATCCTTCTGAATCAGACAGACTTTACTGACCTCCTACAGTATTCAGAAATGCACAAGAAAGAGAAATACAAAGTTAATATGCTTTGATTATATCTCAAAACGATGAGTTTAAGGCATGATTAAAATTCGATCAAGACAATAAATTGTATCCAATCACCTGCCTTCTTCAAAATATTATCGTGAAATGAAAGTTAATTGTTTTCTTAAATAAGGCTTACACTAAATAAGTTAATAATAATTCAAATTATATCCGAATAATGTGTTTAAAAGGTTTCTACGTGGGTCAACTTCATTGTACTATAATCAAAAGGCTTGGTACGCAAAGATTAATCTTAAGCCATTGAAATTGAATGAAAATTTGGTTTCATAGCACTCATTAGGGTTTGTAAGTTGTAAATATGTAACACTGTTCAATTAAATTGTTGCCTTTTTAAAGTACCTATATTGTACTTTATAAAATAAATTTATTTCCTTTAATAATGTAAACTAGAAACCACATTTTTACATAATTCATTAAGTTTAACAGTTCTGTTTTACATTATTACCCACTTTATGGTTTGCTATTGTAGAGAATTTCTGTACTGTTCCGTTTTCTTGATTTTCTTGACTCGTGTTAACTTGAAGTGTTCTAAATTTGTTGTTCTTAAGGAAATTTTCTTAAAAACGTCTTAAAATATTTTTTTCATCTACTTATTATAGAAATAATTTACAAGTAACTTTAAAAAAATAATTATTTTTATAATGCAATCATTTAAGATCAATTTACTTTTTCATATTTATCTGGAATGAAAAACATATAAATAGACGAATACCTAATATAGTACCACGAAGCTACGGAACGGTTAACGCAATTAACGCAGGATTAAAATACAGCATACCTTTGATGCGGCAGCCGTCTGTCCGTGACAGTCAGCAACGTGGATGTTTGCGGTGGGACATTCCCTTGGTCATCTCCTCCAGTCGTGTTCACACACACGCTGATGCTGATGCCGCCAACGTCACCCCCCTCAGCTGCCTCTCCGCTTTCCTCCTCCTCGTATCTGTCCAGACCACCCATTGCTAGGCTATATGCAAGAGCTGTTGTAGTAAGTACTTTTTGAAATGACGTCACAAGAGCAATAAGCTGTGATGCTTCTTATTTCTGCGTGTTTATAATGCAGTGTCAAGCTTTTATTTTTTAAACTTGGACAATGATATGCCAGTTTCTTTCAAAGTGTTTTTTTATGCCCTGGTAACTTTGTACCTAGTTGTATTGTTGTTTTAGGTACGTTATTACTTTTTCATTTTTGTAAATGTAAACGTTACAAATTTTTAATATTTATTTAAAATTTCAATAATTTAAACTTTATTTTGGAAGTAAGTACTGACTACACAACAAATATTTATATTTAACCAAACCAAAAGAAAATGTATAAGTAACTAAAAAAATAATGTATATGTAATACTAATATATAAATTAATATCTTCCTTAATTTGACAAAGGCGATTAATTCGTCCGGAAACCGTAAGAAGATTGGATAGAGATTTAATATCTTTTTGGTCAACAGTTCGGCGATTGGTAGGAATTTCTTTGACATCAAGACTCGGATTTATAAGACTGTGCCGCGGATTACAGTGCTTTAAACTAGAGGACGACATGCTTGAAGAAATCTTTTTCGAAACTTTGGTGATCAGATTTTAGTTCTTTAAATATGCTATTAAAATAAAGAAATGAAAACTTGTCCAAGTGATCTTGTTCAATAGTACTTACATATATGGTAAAAACAAAAGATCCTAAGCATTCATAATGCCTATTAAATGTTAATTATTTTTTAAATTATTTAAGACCCAATTTGGGTCCGTAAATTATATTGAGATGTAGTTTTAGTAAAATTTAGTAAAGTTTGCCTTTAATTAAACTATCGAAGCTTCGGTTAAATAGGCAAACACAAAACAGCTAAATACATTTTATCTTATGGTTGTTAACAGATTTTTTATTTACTAGCTATCGATGAGTTTTAGTGGAATCAATAATTTCCTTAACAAAGTTGTATGGGATTTCGAACAAAAGCAATTTAAGCCCTGGTTATTTTTATTATTATTATCACAAAATCTGATGTGAATTATTATTTAACAAAATCGAATCGAATCGAAAATACTTTAAAAATTCGAAAAAGAGTTTAAAACTGTTAATACATTTTTTTTTTATTAAAAGACATAAAATTAAGCAGCAAAAATGCACATTTACTTCACCCTCCACCTGACTCACCGCCTCTGAATCAAATTCTCCATAATGATGTAGTCATCTTCCTCGGCTCCCCGAAGGTGTTCCTTCTCCATGAATAACGCGAATTCTGGATTGGACATTTCGCTGGCGTGCCGACGGCGGACTGATGGTGAAGCCGCTCTAGCAGGGGATAGCAAGCGTGATGTTATTGGAGTTCTAAAACAGAACATACAAGTTTGACTCCCTTTCTTTCCTTTTATTTAGCTTTACTGGAATCTGTAGAGTGATAGGACAGAACTTGAAACAAACCCTGTAACAACACGTTTGGCCAGCTTGGTATAGTAGGCCAAAACCTCCTTTCTAAGGAGAGGCCTATGTCCAGCAGTAGACTACTAAAGGCTGTTCATGATGATGATAGGAAAAGGGCAGAAGTGTTAACAGACAGCCGGGTTAGCATGCGTTATTTGATTTGACCAATGAGGGCGAGCAGTCCTAAGGTTGGCCATCAGATCTTAGGTAAGATGTCAGATGTCACACACACAAAAGTAGCTGATGTTGAATCGTTCTTAATTTAGCTTTCCATTGGTGAAAGCGTAACAAACAAAATTCACTTTCACATTTATAAGTAAGTATGGTCATGTGTATGGATATGCCACCCTCCTGCCAAGTATGTAATTAGAACTCCGTAATAGGAACCGAGTTTTCTTCTTCTTCTTCTGTATATTAAACAAATTTGCTAATTCGTTGCTACTATTGATAGGTTAACAAAGAAGCTTACAACATTTTGGATACTGTATGGCGAATTTTACAATAATAAACTTCAATATCCAAAGACCATAATAAATATACCTATAATAAATAAAAATAAATATACCAAAATAAATATACCTATAATCATACCTGGGCGTATGTGGTGGTGAAAATAGTCCATAGACGGTCTCCAGCTCATCAGTAATGCTGGTGTACTCGTGCATGGCCAGCAGTAGAGACCTCGGAGCGCCACCCACACGGTTCCTGCCCGACGAGATACCGGCTGCACCTCCTGTAGCTTCCCAACCAGATGGTGGATCTGAACATGTGAAGCAGTCAGTTCTTCGCATACTATTATGCAAAAAATTAACTTGAGGGTATTTTAATGTGGTATACTGTTGAAGCTTTCATTTGGTAAATATTCGTTAAAAATTAATAGGAAAGAAACCAATCACAAAAAGTGTTTTTTAAATACCAAAGCAAAGGCAACAGTAAGTGCTGAAATGTTTTGATAAAAATTTTGTACAGATTATTACTGAGTGCACATTTCAAAATAGTAAAAAAAACATGAGAAAACATGATCAATTGCTTTTTAACATGTTTGTTATTTAACTCATTTTAATTCTTCAACATCCATTGTATAACCATGGCAGAAGTTTGATAAAATTTCAGAATCGCTAAATAGTGTCCATTTGGGTGCACACAATAATTGTTTTGTGTCTTAACACTTTTACTGTTAAATATAATAGAAAACATTTAGGTGCGATTATGGAGGTGCAACATATATAGTGTCATTGCGTCATCAGTGTCTTAATATTTCCTTTTAACAAGTCACGCCGAACGATATGAACTTTTGAATGAGATCTAGCGGTCATCGCTGATCAATAGTTAGCATTTTTTACTGTCATATGCGCTACAGCGAATGTCGCGATAACCGCGCGTAAACGCTTTTTAGAAAATTGAATGTAACATAAAAATTTAAATCATTGTATTAGTTTTTTTTTAACTATGCAGAAAACGTTACTATTTTGTAGTTTCATATAAGTTTATAACACATTCAATAATCAGAAACTGATTGGAATTGGAGCACAATTGTCGTATTGTTGTATTGTTTGCACGATGGGATACTTAACATGCACACACACTGCGCTGCATCTACATAATTGTACTCCCAACAGCTATCTTACCAGTAACAGAATTATGCACTGAACCAGCGTCAACGCCTGAATTATCTGGTTCTGAGTGCGTCTGGCTGTGTTGGCGACGCGGTGCCAGATGCTGCGTTGAGTAGTGGCCGCCCATCCCACAGTCGTTGCCACCCTCCGATCGTCTGTCAATATATTAACGAGGTCAGAATACCCGCACAATACTATGATAATAGGTGGTGAAGATACTCTGACTATCCTTTGTTTGCAAAAACGTTTTCAGGTCCTTACTCAGGATTCGTCAGGATATCTATATAAAATACTTTCCACAGCAAAATTGTGGCAAAAGTACATGTGCAGTAAAAGTTTAGTATTAGTAAGAAGAAGTTTTGTTAAAGAAAATAATAATAGTTGTTATAATTTTGAGATTAGTAAATAATGTGAAGACAAAACAATCGAAAATACAACAGAGAACTATGGTGGATTTAGAATTCGTAATTATTATAATATAGTAATACTTATAAATGATGATATCTCGAGTTCAAACCAGGCTTACCTTTAAATTTTAATTATTATAATATGGGCAAAATATTAGTGCAAACGCTTTTGTTTTAGCACATAGAAATATAATATTTATTTATACATATTATAATGTCAAATGAAAATAAATAATCATGTTAAGAATTCCGAAGTATGGTTTCAATTGTGTTTAAAATGTACAGAAAATACATAGATATAAATATATTTAAAAAATTGCGTCACATGTAACAGTGTATTCACTTCGTGACTAGACAAGGTTGTGCATTTTGTTAATGATAAACAGATTTATAATTTAATCTAGCATGTACACAAGCTATAAGTGTTTTTTATACACAGTTGCAACTACATCTAACTACATTCGCTAGCAAGCTAAGCCAATCGCCAATGAGTCTATTTGACTTACTGTTTCCACAACCGTCTCCTAACAGATGCAAGTAACAAAAAATAAAATTAAAAACAATCATGGCGATGATAATTTCGGTTTTGTACAAACAAATATAGTATTTCCCGATTTGGTGAATGAAAGAACTATAGAATCCAGTGAAACTTTAGGAACCAGGGACAATTAAAAGGTTACTATTGTACAAAAAGTATCAGTTTGAATTAATAACATTTAGTTATCCAGCTATTTAACTCTTAAAATAAAGTTATTAGCAATCTTCGACAATAGTTAACCTTTTTCAAAGTTTTCAAATTTCCAAACCTTATAAAGAGTCCCTCAAAGTAATCAGATGAATGAATGGTTAATAAAAATGGTAATCATGAATAAAATAATAACGCAGACATGCCTAGATTTATATCGTATGTATCATCGTGTGTGAATGGTTTATTAATTTCCTTTATTTCTGAATTCGTGAATGTCGGCATCGGCAATATTTTGGTGCGTTTCTAGATAAAACATTTACCTGCGTTATCTAGGTGATAGTATGTACCAAACTACACTTAATAATAATGAATCCAGGTACTATTGTGACTACCTTCAAGAGATGAACATTAACCGAATAGAGTGACCAACAAGCAGACCAGACCTTCACCTAATTGAGTATGCTTGGGAGAAGCCAACAAGAATGCTCGATACCAGAGACAATAAACCCCTTCCCTGATCAAGCTCTGAGAGCCCAAACTTTCTCATAGAGGAATAGGAAAAAATACTCCGTCGTCTTAAGGGAAACTTGAACTTGGGATATTTCATGCCAATGTAATGGCAACTCGTGGAGCTAACAAAAATACTAAAATTTAAGGAAATAGCGAAGTTGTAGATAAATATCCTGTTCTTTATCATTTTTGTTTTAAAATTTGATTGATTTGATTAGTCTTTTTTCGAGTAAATTTATATATGAACATTTTATAAATAATATTAATTTAAGGTGACTTTGATTCTTTATTCAATTCAATTTATTGCATTCTTATTGGTCGAGATTTGTAGGTATCTCTATGTGACCCGGATTCATTGTTCTTGAGTGCATTGTGTTATAAAATTAAACTAATTAATTTGGGAACTGGATGGCCAGGTTGATGGGCAATAAAGAAACACCAAAGTGTGGTCAAAACTTTACTGTATTCTGCATCGAAACTGGTTTTAACTTCAATCAACTCATCGGTTTTTATATTATTGAAGACGGCAAAACTCATAGGCATAAGCGAACTATCCTGAACGCTTCGTAGAATTGTAACTATAATGTAACTTTTAAGTGATATGCGGCTTTATACATGGAGGGGCGCTTACCGTCTCGTGTTTGCTGTCCGCCGAGTTCCAGCAGAAGTTGTGCGCGGTCGCAGACTTTGAAGATCCGCCGGCATTTCGCGCACCTCCGGCAAGAAAGCATCGTCCGTGGATGACGGCACTAGAGAATAATTTTGTTTTGATTTTGTGCATAACACTTTGATGAATAAATTTCAGGAAAAAAATAAAACAAAACGAGATAGATTTTAAAAATTACTTGATATACTTAAGTTATTAATTTAGAAACATTTTTTGTTATTCTATAAAATGGATAAAAACACCATGCTATTAATTTTTTAAATATTTTTGCTAAAAGTAAAATAAAAGCAAGGATTAAGGGTTACATGTGCAAATTAATTACATATGATGTCAACAAGAATGTTGGGTTGTAAACCTTTCTTCTCATCACTCGGCTCAGTCCGGTTGCTATCCGAAGATCTTTGTCTAGCTGGTGTAATTGGAGGCTGAGTTCTGATCACTGTAACATCGGGACCTGCTGCGCTTCTACCGGATGATGTCGATATTGAGTCAGCATCTGGTTCTTTTTCAGGGGGTACTTCGGGGCCAGACTGAGGTAATTCGTCCTGCCACGCAGAATAGTCATAATAATATGTTAACAATCGATGGAAGGTATTTTTTTTAATAAATTGGAACTATAAAAACTCTAAACACGTGCGAAGCTACAACTAAAAATTATGTTTCTGCTTGAAATGTTATATTTATCATAACTGAGAGCACTGAAAAACGACAAAAACAGTACTTCGATAACGTTTTAATGTTAATGAAAAACTATCAAAAGAGCAGAATGAGTATTTCTAGATTAATAACAAAACGGTTTCAATTACATTTTTCTTTTAGTAGTAATAATATTACGAAAGCAGGTTAACTATTCTCAAGTGACTACGAGATGCATACCTACTTTTGTATTTAAGGGCTTCAGAGTTTTATAATGGTTATTAAAATAAAACAAACAAAATCAGGGTTTAAAAGTATCCTAGATAAGCAGAATAAAAACAAATAATTTAGTAATAATGTAGTACAAGAACAAAACTTTGCAACAAATGCAAAAAGAGTTTTTACATTGAAATAATTTAAAAAAAATCCTCGTAAAAAGTTAAGCAATACAGATGCAAATATATTTACAAGTGGAAAGAAAGAACAGCATAGCCATTCCAAAATATCAGTAATTACAGCAACAAATACGAATAATGAAGATAAATATCTTTTTTATTAACACTTTCATGATAATACAGTAAAATAAAACATATAACACATTTATATGGTTTGTCAGGGTGCTGTCCCACACGACACAAAATCATGTTCCGTTTGTACTTACTTAAAGATCAATTTTAAAGAGCAACTATGACCTCCCATTAGCCAATTACCTACAGCTAAAATAGCTGGCTGCCCAATTATTGTGCTTACCAGAACCAAAATGCCGTGCGTGTTTTCAGCTTTAGTACAATATGTTTAAGTGCCAAAATAGAACTATTGTGTTTAACTGTATGCTGTTTTAGTTCTATCGGTGCAAAATGAAATACATTTTATTTTTGGCTATCTATTTTGAACTTACTTTATAACTTGTCTGTTGTAAAACCGATACTTCACCATCGTCCTAATTCGAACACAAACAGAATACATTAAGTTACAAACACGTCTGAATAGCGCAAATATCAAAATAAGCATAGGGTTCGACTTGTGGGAAACAGTATTTAATTTTAAAACTTAAAACAAGCGCGATAAAGTAATTTTTCCTTATATTCGTCACGAGTCTTCACGTTTAAGTTTGAAGTCGTTGTTATGGCTCTTATATGCAGATATCCCTAAGCAGATTGTTCGGGCAGCATCGCGAGGTTTAAATATTGCTTACGTCGGAGGGCCGCGAGTGCTCGTCCTCCTCCTGGACTGGGCGAACAGCGAAGCGCGCCACGCCCGTGTCGCTGTCCGACAGCACCTGTTGTCAGGTCACACATAGCACCGTAATGCATACTTCGTTAGACGACAAGCGGAGATCGATACATGTAAGTCACTTAATTAAAAAAAGTTGTAAAGTCATTTAAAGTTAGGGCTTCTTTTGTAATTTTGTAACAAATTACACTGAAAAGCTTTGCTTAGCTCCGGAATAGTTTCCGGGGCTAAGTGAAACGAGTAGGTTTTGCATTTGATAGCCTAATTCTTGAGGAATCATTATTGGCTCTTGAAGAAAATATTAGTTGTTTCAAGAGCAGCAGCAGGGTAGTGACCATAAGCTACTAAAACTGCAGGGAACGAGATACATTCATAAATTGGGCACGTATAAACACTGTGTTGCTTTTTTCAGACAGACATAGTATTAGATATCTACATAGACTTCTATAAATTTCTCTTTACCTAATTGAAAAGCATTCTAATGCGTAGATATTTTAGGGACGGTCAACTTTTATCACTGCGTCTTTATTATTCTTTTGTTAAGTGCAAATTGGCGATGACAATGCGTCTTGTACTGAAATTGCATTGTTCAATATTAAATTAACAAAGTTCAAACTAAGTTTTTGATTAATATTTACAAAGAAGGTTTAAAAAATCTAGCTACGAAGTTTTAGAATAATACGGTGAATATTTCTAATTGATATTTGGTTCTATGAAAAACAACTATCAGGGCGGGTAAATAGATAGTTAAATATCTAATGCAGAATGCTATTTATAGAAGTTAATTTTAGTTTCGAGAAGTAGTCAGAACTGAGATTGTCTTCAACAAGTTGGAAATAGGGATGTTGACTAAGTTTTATTGCTACAACTTGCACTGTGGCAAACCCACTGTAGAATAGTAATAAAATGCCGTGGCTATATTGCATATTAACAAAATGTAAATCTCCGAATGATGTCAAACAAAATACACAAGCGGTTACAGATTGCCAGAATTTATGTTGAGCTCACAATACGAATATTTATTACGTGTTATTTACGACTGATACGCTTGAATATTGACAAGTATATTGATCTTGTTTCCTCACTGTTATAATAGTGTAGTAAAGCGTTATTTTTGAGAGATTTTTTCCCTCTAGTACGTCCATAGACGGCATAGAAAGGAAGATGATCTTACTTCCTAACTTATTAGAGTGATGAAAGATCCGGCTTCACAAATTTTCAAAAAAACACACCCGTGGCGATCAGGCTTAAGATATTTCTAATCTGACCAAAAGTTGAGTACAACCGTGAAGGTATTTTAAAGTTTCTATAATAGAGAAGTCATCAACGGTAATTTCTGGCAAAGTGTTCCTCGATAATGACAAATACTGAATGGAAGACGAAATTTTAAAATTAGCATCAACGCAAACATCGATATATGTAAATACCATGCCAAATGATAAACACAAAACGATGCAGTTAGCGTTCTCAAGCATTCGTGTTGAGGTTAACATCTAACACACAATTAAATAAGTAATGGGAAACATTTATTTAAAATTCATTACAGATTGGGTATGACATTTAAAAGAAATCCTGTAGTTTATTTTATTTACTTTATGAGATTTCGATTGTACAGGCTCAAATGAGGTTAATTTAATATTGCCATAAACAATTCAAATCAATAATGCTTTTTTTACATTTCCTTCTGAGATACACGATTCGTGTATTTTATTACTTTTAAATAGAAGAATCGTCCGATAATCACGCGAGCTTTTTAACTATTGCAGGAGAGATTCTACACTAGAAAGAACTTAACGTAATTACTCTTTAATAGATGTGCCTGCCAACTTTATTGTTTTTTAAGCATAATCATGGTAAGATTGAATTGTAATACGGATGTCAATTCAAATGTTACTTTGAGAAAAAAACATATACATAATTTCAAATTCACGTTTTAGCAATCTTTTTTTTACGAAAATCGGGTTTTTGCGAAAATAATGGGTACTGTATTTTAGAAGCGAATTCAAGTCTCACGTGTTTATCGGACGGTGCCTAAACATCAAATCTAAGGGATTTACTAGATTTTTTGATAAACATAATCTAGATACAACAGTCCACTCACCTCGGATCGATCGCTTGCTGTTCTGAGCCTATTACCTCCCGCCTGGAAGGTCGGTGGCGGTGGTCCTAAGGTATCAGTTGACCCCCTATTCACTAGTGATGGATGTGTGGCCATGAATCGGTGTATCACTGCCAAATGGTTCATCGTCTGTTCAGCCACGTCCTCCAACTTTCTTAACCTAAATTCTACACTCTAAAAATAAATAATAATTTAATTATCTAAGTTATCTGGAGAATGGACAGTGATTATCTTAAATCATTTAATCAATCCTTACCAATTTTATAAATGTGAAATAACTCTGTCTGTCTGTTACACTTTCATGGCTAAACTGCTAAATCGATTTTAATAAAATTTGGCATCTGAGAAAGGCCAGAGGCTACTATTTATCGCGATAAACATACACGCTAGTCTATCATAAATATCAAATACCCACATTTCATACTTATGATAGATTAGCGTAGACTAGCGTTTGCGTTAGGAGCGTAGGAAAATAATTTTAATATAATACTACATGTCTTGGAAATATAGTTTCATTTAACTTAAGACAATATTTTAATTTGTTACTCGTGGTAATAATTAGAAGCAGTTATGGTTGTAAAGTGTTGATTCGCTCATTTCAGTAACGGCCACTTTAAGTTACAGATATACGACCTTAATCTGCCCTAACTATTGCTTATAACCTCCATACCATCCGTATAAGCGATATTCCTTTATTACTTTACATTAATTTCCTTTCATTTAACTACAAATTTTCCCACGCAACTCCTAAAGAGCCCGATTTATGGCAACAGGCTTGATTTTAATACGGAAGTGGGCTTAAAATTATGGTCTGCAATATGTTGGCGTTTAAATACAGCTTTGTTTACCCCTTCGGGGATGTAAAAGTAAGACTAAAGCTAACTTAAGCAAAAAATATTGTTATCCAACTGAAATAATAAATTTAATCACATCACATCAACAGCCTTTAATAGTCCACTGCTTTACATAGGCCTCTCCTTAGAAAGGAAGTTTTGGCCTACTATACGACGCTGGTCAAATGGGTTGGTTTAAGGTTTGTGTCAAGTTTGCCTTCTTTTTGCAGTGCTGTTGTCCTGCGTCGTTTGATCCCTTAGTCGGCTCTTACGACACCCACGGGATGAATAGTCACAGTGACAGTCCGTATTCTTAATCCGTCACCACACGAACGATATTGATTGTAAATTGTACAATATTGATTGTAAATTGTACAATGTTAATTGTAAATTGTACGATATTGATTGTAAATTGTACAATATTGATTGTAAATTGTACAATATTCTCACCTGTATTGATTGTATTTGGCAATTAGCTTTCTGATTTAAGTCTTCCATTTTCGTAGTGATATGTTCTACTCTATCAGTTGTGTTTCTCACTCTCTCTTCTATAGAATTAGATAATTTAATTTCCTAAAACAATCATTTTGACATACGTTATGTAATGACCAATATTTAATGTTAAACATTATCAGTGTGCAGAATTTGAGATCGAAATAAAAATTAAAAGAAATTAAACTTTAAATAAATAAAAGTATTATTTTTGTAACTTTGATAACTAAAATAAACGGTTACTTAATTGAAACCCTTAAAAAAAGAACGTTACGTTATGTTTTTTTTTTGCCTTGTAATACCAATGGAACAATACGTACCCAATAATTTTATATTACATACTTTTTACACCATTACAGTATTCTTAAATTGATATCTGATTCAACTGTTTTTTTTAAACAGTAAAGGAAAACAGTTTTCAAATTGTTTAAACGACTCTAAGTTTATTACTTTAATTACTTACTTGTTCCCTAAAATACCCTTCAACGCATTCCTCTTCAAAGTCATACAGCCTCTCCATATCTTCCTTCTCCAAGAACAGTTTTAAGCCATTATCATACTGGAACCTTTTATGTGATACGTTTCTAGTGACCCATTTACAAGTCGCATATATATGACAAAAGGTGATCAGTGGTGGTGGTAACACAGGCTTTTGTTCATATTCCATCACCACTGTGAACCTTTGGAACATCCACACCTGGGGAGGCGAGTCCAAATTTTAGACAAACAACATATTTAGAAGACGAACGTAATGCATTTATGTATGGATATAAACAAACGTGATTTAAGAACGGTAAACCATACTTTAAAAACGAGGTTATATCGTTTATAAATTTATATAAATTAATTTAGGTGTAAAAAATAATAAAAGTACAACATCAAATATAAATTAATGTGGCTTTGATGCAGCTAATATGCAATTAAGATTGTTAAAATAAAATCATGAGGAAAGAAACATTAACATATTAATATATCATCACATAAAACAATAGCTGACATTTCTTCATGATTTTAACATGAAACAAAACAAAAAAAGCAAAATAAAAATAAAAAACCTGGTGCGAGACTTCATTGACTTCGTTAAATATATTGTTAAAAACTGCAATGAGGAGGTTTATGAGCAAAATGTTTGCAACGAGCAGGTATATGGTCATTGCGATTGGTGTGATCCACCTGCCGGTGACGCATTTGTGGGCTAAGTTATCCATCCCACACTCCGGGTCGATATCGTTCGCGAACACCTCACCGTACAACATGAAGTAAGGCTGATAGAACACCTATGGACAACGGGAGTGAAACCTAAAATGTTGTTTAAATAAAATTTGGCAAAAATGATGTGAAATAATATAAAATTGATATAGGTAAAAGTCAACTTAATACAGAAACCAAATTTACGTATAATGAGCAACTTAAAATACTATCTACTTAGTATTTAGGACAATCACAACTACTCCTCAACCATGTACTCTGTACCGGTAGTAGACATAAAAATGCTTGCAATGATACTAAGTGATGTGATAAAACAGAATGTATCAAATATCAAATAAAAGTAATTTAAATGAAACCAAAGAGTAAACTTAAATATCTACTGAAACTACTCCAAACTCCAAGAATACGTAATCAAATCTCGCAACAGGCACTAAAACAACATCAAAACTACGACAAATAAACGATATTGTCGCAAACCTGATGCGACACACCGTTGACTTCAATGAAGATGTTATTGAAGACGGCTATGAGAAGATTCACTAGTAAAATGTTCGCGATGAGTAAGTACACGCTCATGACCACTGGTGGGACCCAGTGGCCTACTCGACACTCCTCGAGGCCTGGCAGCCCACAAGGGGGTGCCATTTGTTCGGCGAATACTTCTCCGTAAAGCATGAAGTATGGTTGAAAGAATACCTGGAAATGTTAGTAGTATTGGCATTGATCGTATAGAATAGTTTGGCAGAGTGTGGTTAGTTTGTCAACATCGGCAGACAGATATCTTAAAATAATAACTTTTTTGAGTTCACGTGTGGCTTTTGAGTATACCTCACGCTGTTTGAGGACTCTTAACCTATATATATAATGCCCCTGTTGAGTCCAAAAGTAGCCTGAGTATTCCCGATGTACTGTATTTTTAATAAACAATAAATATGTATTGAATTTGATTCGTGAATGATTTGTGATTTCCTTTATTTCGGTATTGTTTTTTTTTTTTTAAAGAAGAAAGTTTTTCTTAAGGCTTTCTTTTCGAGGCAAAGAAAGACTGAAACGAGGAATTTAGACTTGTTATTTATCGTCATCCTACAATGTGGGCATATTTTTACATACCCCTAAAATGTATGGGTTTACCCATAAGAACTTAACTTCCTTATAACCTTCGACGCTATTTTGGATGAAGAACCCTACGTTGCTTCTAGTAGTAATGTAAATCTCGTATTGCGGGTACACCTAAATTCTTTCGAACTATCTAAATTCTTTCTAACTTTACTATAATATACATATGGCAGCGAACAGAAAAGTTTGGAATATTAAGTATTTAGTCTTTTTTTATTATCATCTTTCTACATCGAAGGTTAGTTTTTAAATATCAATTTAGCTCAGAAATAGCTCCACAAACGATCACAATTATAATAAATATTGACTTACTTCTCTAATTAAGTACCAGCTAGCTTCTTGTTCTGGATACAAAATAGCTTGTCTCGCAACTCCAAATGACATTAGCACCACCAGCAATAGCACCACGAAATATATCATGTTCTTAACCATCTTACCCATCATTGTGACTAGAGGACCTGTTAAAATCATTTAAAGTGAAGAGTAAAGAGACAAACAGAACTAATCGGTTAGACAAAAGTAAATTAATATCAAACTAATTAAGTGTTCCCTTAAAAAGAAGATAATGTATTTTTTGATAAAATAAAAGGACTTATTTTTCAATTTTTTTATGGGACTAATCCCTCCCACTCGCCCGCCACTGTAACCCCTGTACACCAGAATCAATAGCAGTGACCCAAGAACACACCGAGCTATGACACTCGGGTAGTCCCAGGAAAAAAATTAAATGGCTTGGAACCCGAAACGAAATTAATCAGAAGAAAATTGGAGGAGTTGGAAATAAAATAAATCCACTTCCCTCCTTAGCAAAGCGGGAGTCAAAATTAAGTAAAATAGGCATACACCCTTTTAAACAGGGTAGCACCACGGCCACAAAGTATTATTGGTCCTAAGTAAGCTATATTTAATTTCTATAATATTTACGGCAGAATCGCCTTAACCTTGTGTCACCCTAGTAGATCCTAGAGGTATCCCTATAGTATACCGCCCCAGATGTCACCTGTAATTTAGCTGATTGTTTGGAGGATTAAAACAAACGTAAGCTTAAAACAAATACAGAAATATGATGGCCTTACCTAAGTACTTATTAACTCCCAAAATATTCAATATCCTTAAGTACCAGTAAATGATATCGACACAGTAGATGACCCTGCCTACGTCCATCGAGCCTTCCCTTAACCTAAGAATGAGTCCCACGAGGAAGAATATTATAAAACCTGCGTCGTACGTGTTCCATAGATTCCATGCCCATACGCTGAACTTATGTCTGGAAATTAATACACATTTTAATATATCATTACCAATATTATAGAGCTAAAGATTTCGTTTTTGTATTTGGGTGTTTGAACGCGCTATTTCAGGAAGTAGTTGCTTGAATTGAAAAATCCTATAAGTGTCGGATAGCCCATTTATTAACGAAGGCTATAGACACATCACGCTACAACCAATGAAAAATGTTGAAAAAACGAGGAATGTTTATTCTTTTTAGAGACGCCGACGAAATTGCACGCCACAGTTAGTCAGGGACAGATTAAGAAGGAATTTGATGATACTGCTAAAACTTTAAAATTTATTATAGTAAATACATAACGAAAGTACAAATATTTCATAATATTATTATAGTTCCTTCGAGTTTGTAGTCCCTGTGTCTCTCCTGTAAATCATTGCGTGATGTTACATATTTTATTCGATGAATATTATACCCATTACATAAAAAAAAAATTGAATTTGACTGGTAGTTTCAAAGAGAAGCGGGTTAAATGAAAAAAACAAAGAAATCCTTTGGCTTTATATAATAATATACATGCTAATAATTTCGTATAACATATAGTGTATTAGTTTTAGTAATTATTATAACATCATTAGTATTTAAAGAATATTAAATCGGTTTGGCAACTTAAGTTGCACATAGTCTCGCGCTGATTATGCAAATATAATCTCGCTGTGATCACTTAGTGATTGAGCAGATTGTTGTTTCGTATCTTGAAGCGTCGTTTTAGTCTTAATTTAATAGGATATATAGAATACCATCAGTAATATATTAAGCTTATCTTACTGTTGATATGCCAGAGTTAAATACTTTACTTAGTTGTGAGAAATACAAGAAATCATTCAAAAAAATAGATTAAAAAATATTGTGTATGTTTAAAAGTGTGTATAAGTCTATGTATAACAAAAGAGTTTATTGGTAAAATTAACGTTAACTTTAATAATAAATAGGTGTCCCTTTAAAAATACTTTTTTTTTTATTTAAGCGGTCGCAACATGAATGTACATAAACATAACCTTAGTTATTTCTTTGTTACTAAGTGAGTAAAATACAAACGAATAATAATGATATGTCTCCAATGTCACTTTACGTTGGGTGAATGAACAAATACCATTATTCAATAAAAACATCTAAAAAGGCAATTTATTTTTGCAAATATTTTACAAGTTAAAATACTGTGATCATTTACTTGAATGATAATGTTAAACAGAGGCTTTCAATTTTGACGTCAGCAAATATCCTCCTGACAGATTTACCGATAGTCCCGTCGAGGACGGTAATTTAAACGATGATTTATGGGGCTCTCTTAATTATTGAGACGAAGAGCTAACTGCCGTTATGATAAAAGTTTTTGACTTGTAGCATATTTAATCACTCGAATAATATTTTTTTAGTTAGTAAACAGACTTCATTTAACTTTTCAACCACTTTGAGATTTTATATTAGACAGGTAAACCAAGAAAGCCATTGATTCGATGTGACGCTTTGTACTGTCTCGACAGGACGCTACACCCTTGATAGAGTGCCCTTGTCGAGTCCAGAACTAGTCAGGCATCTCCGACTTACGGACGTAAGTAATGCCGTTTGTAATTAATTTAAAAAAAAATAAGCCACGAACACATCGAGTTAGGACACTCGGGAAGTCCCAGGAAAAAATAAAACTGTCTTGGAACCCGCAACGAAATTAATCAAAAGAAAATTGTAGCCGAGGTACTACAGGTTATGTTCAAGTTTAGTGAAACAATAACTGCACTATAACGGTCTTTAACTTAGATAAATAAGGTTTAAAAACTAATAACTTACTTAATAGCAACAGGTTCGGACGTAATAATTTCCCTTATCTTCTCACATAAGAACGTTAATATATAACATATAGAATATATCTCCGGCCAAGATGGTGTTGGAGCCATCTTGACTAATACTGTATACGTAAACATCAATAGGAACAATATGTAGGCAATCTGAAACAAAATATTTTATACATTAGTGTGTGAAAAAGCAGCATTTCAACACAAACAATTTTAATACGGCAGTTTTTACTGGCAACGCTAAAAAAGTTAACAGTTGAAATTGACACCATGAAACTTGCAGATGGAAAAGGCTCCAAATTCTTAATAAAATAAACGATTAAACAAAGGGCGATAAAATTTTGGTTTTAAACTGAAAAGCATACGCACTTTAAACCTAATTAATTTGTTGCGGTTGGACCCATTTCACTTTTAATAATACTTCAATGAATGCAGAATTATTTACCAATAAATACCGTTTGCAATACCGAATGTCAAAAATATCATAGAACTCTAATCTTTTTAATAATATAATTGATCAAAAAATGTCAAAATGTTAGAGTGCAAACTACGTAGGAACAACAGCACTGCAAAGAGAAAGAAAACTTGAAACAAACCCTAAACCAACCCGTCTATATAGTAAGCCAAAACCTCCTTTCTAAGGAGAGGCCTATGTCCAGCAGTGGACTAATAAAGGCTGTTGATGATGATGATGAAAAAATGTCACAAGTAAATCTATTTTAATATAATATTTTATTTATACATCAGATCAATTTTTTCACTCAATCAGTGATAAAGACGGGTGCCTTTTGTATGAAATAGCGAGTAAACGGGCAGACAGGTCACCTGATATTAAGTGACTATTGTTGCCCATTCACACCTGCAACTCGAGAGACAAATGTGCCTTGTCGCCCTTTGAGTGCCCTCTTTGAGTGAGGAGAAGGGTTAATAACCCTTTCTCACTCACTCGATAAAAAGCAATGAAACAATTGCTTAACAATGGTTTTCTGTAAAGCCGACCGTATGTGCAAAATTTATTTGATTTAGAACGGACAAAATCGTATGAACAAGTTTTTTAGGTAGAATAATCGGGTTTTTAGGAAACGTGGACATTTCGTGAACAAAAAAAAGAGTGTTTTCTTCAGGATTGAAATCATTACAGAGAAATTTATTGAAATGGAAACAAGACAACGTCAGACCGGTCAGCTGTTCTTTTATACGAGTAAATCCTATTTAAAAACAAAGTTGAACCAACTTCAAACAATACTTACAAAGAGCACTAAAAATACTAGCAGCAATAGCAGCTGATTTTCTGTCATTTTTTATAAGAGTTCTGTTGTCTGTTTTTCAAAAACTCATCATCAGATCTATATGAAATTTAAATGGGACCATTTCGGAATAAACCCCCTTCGAACAAAAAATAATTTTGCAAATCCCTCTGTATATGATGAAGTTATGCCCGAACATACATAAAAAAAAACATATAAGCCATCCGAATTGATAACCTCCTCCTATTTGAAGTCGGTTAAAAATTCTTCGTAATGTTTTTCAAATGAAATGCTATAAACTACAGTCGCCATACTTGGTAAATTGTTTTAGTCCTACAAAAACACAGCATCTGTTAATATTATGAATGTGTATACTTTTGTTTGTAACTGTCTCACGAGGAATATAACTTTGTTATTGTTTGTTTTATGTTACTAGTTACAGAATTTCCAAAGTATGAAGAACAATAAAACTCTGGGTTATTACAGAAATCTTTCGAGGTGTATGTAGTTTGAGTATCATAAAAATAAATTAAAATAACGGGAAGTACCACCACGGCACGGAGGTCATCACACACTGCGAATGAATATAAAATGAATGAATGAACATAAACACTTTTCGTAGTTCTTCGTTTCGTTCACTTTTAATCGCGATATCCTATGGTTCATTATTATAATATTCAACGTGCTATATTCCGCCGATGTTCATTATTTTCAGGGACAGGTAAAAGGTTAATATCGATTATCGTTTAGCATCCGCAGAGAACCTCAACTCTATTATATTGTTTAAAGGAATATTTGTATACAATGCTTAAAATTTTAGTACGAGTGATCATTTCAAACCTTTGTTTCCGCAGTAAAATCATAATATAATGAACTTGTATTCACTATATTTGCAAAATGTTTGTCAGTTATGTACACATCAATGGTACACTTTTTTTTAAATATTTTATATCAGATTTAGAATAACTTTACCGGATGCGAATGAGTTTGCGCTAGATCAATACAATAGAAAGATGTCTTTCTGGCTAAACAAAGAAAACCTATTAATAATATGAATGCTGAAGTTTTGCAAGCAATTTACTGAACAACTTATAAGTAATTCAGTTTTTATCGCATTCAGTTATAGTGCTATTTATTTTGGAGCTATTTCTGCATCTAATATTTTTTTACTTCTTTATCCTCTCTCACTGCGATGATTCTAACTATTCATTTAAGGCCGTTGCAAACCCGAGTATAGTTTTTGTGTAAGTAATGATTTGTAAATTGCAACAACAATTAAAACAATAGTACATTCAAGTCTTTTTTTACAGTTAAAAACTGCAATTCACTAAACTTTGGTTTTGTATGCAACACTATTGCTTTTAAAACTCGAGAACAATAAAAATGTATTTATGTATTTTGAACATTATCTAATCCAAGACAGATCCAAATATTACAAATTTACGTCAAATCTCTGGACCAAAATTTGTGAAATTTCCTTGTATTGTTCTTGTCCATCCGTTCATTTACTTTTAATTATGCTTTTGTGACACAACACAGAGGTATAATAAAAGAAAGAAGCAAATAGAATTTAATAAACTTATTTAAACTGACCGGGATGTATTTTACTATATTCATTTTTAAGTGTCACGAGTCATCATCAACAGCCTTTAATAGTCCACTGCTGGACATAGGCCTCCCCTTAGAAAGGAGGTTTTGGCCTACTATACCACGCTGGCCAGACGGGTTGGTATAGGGTTTGTTTTAAGTTTTCCTTCTCTCTGCAGTGTTGTTGTCACGAGTAGGTACATTAAATTTAGGAAAGATATTGCTTTTTTGTCGTTGTCGTTATATAGAAAAGTCAGTTCTTCAATGAAGTGGTCCATTTTTTCTAATGTATAGTTGTGCAGTAATTTACGGTACTAATAATATATCAGTAAGGTTATAATAGTCAGGTCACGAATCGATTGATAATTATGGTTACTGAAAGTCGCTTGAATGTCTCATTCGTTTTGATATAAGACATAGTGAACCATACAATTAAATAGTGCAATTTATAAGGTTTTATTTAACTGACTTGAATACGCCTAAATCAATTGCTTGAATTTGAATTTTCACCCTTAAAATTAGTATATATGTTTTTTATTCAAATTTAAAAAATAATTATTCATATTGTTTATTTCCTCCTTTTAGAACTAGTTAACAAAGAATTTTCAGAGCCCATAATTATAGAAATGTTAGAACAGAAGTTAAAAAAAAACAGCAGAAAATTTCTAATATCTGATCATAGTCTACTGTTACGAGTCATATTTTTTTGTGATCTCTTTTCTCTATATATTGTTTTGCACAGCCACTAGGGTTTCATGAAATAAAACAGTACGTGATATTTTTGAATTTTTTTTGCAGAATACATTAAAACTAATGTATAAATATTTTATATTTATCTATACATACTTTTCTTATGTATACACGTATATTATAAGAAAAATATACTATACACAACAAACGAGTACCTCTGTGCAAAGAAAATAATGGTTTATTCTATTGGAATTATATAAAACGAATTTCTCAAACCTAAACCGAAATATGAATTAGGTTTCGATACATTTTTCTTGAAAAAATAAGTATTTGAGTTAAATTTTAACGTTGTAGATTAATTTGTTGAATTGTAATTAGATTTACGTTATTTTTATGCAGATCAGTCAATTTTGTTAAAACGTACTTATTTATTCTTGTTAAAGTTTTAATTAAGAGACCCTTTATTGCGATGAGATGGCCGTTTTTCAATTCTAATTTGTCAAGATGTCACAAAGATAAAAGGTACTTGAGAATGATATGCGGCAATTACTTGTGTTTATAAAGGTTTAGGGTTCGTGCCTTAGGCCCCCAGCGGCCGACGCACCTATGGTCGACGCCCTCGATTACTAATTTATTTTAAGGCTCCAGTTAGGTTGTTTTAATATTGTTTATTTTGTTGTTATAGTTTACTTAACCGGCTCCAAAACAAAGGTAGTTTAGAACAAATATAATATTTTGGTGTGTATATGACACGATATCGCCTATTGTGAACGATTTTAATAATAATTTTGTATTCCAAGTTCTAATGTAAATTTGAAGAAAGGATTCTAGCTCTAAGGTGACAAATAAACGGATGGAGAATATAGCTTATCATAATTTATTAAGATTTTGTCTAAGTAAGTAAAGTCTATCGTGGTAGGGCCATGCTTCGTCACAAATGGGCCAGGCTCGACCGGAGCGATACCAGAGCCTCATACAAAATGCGTGTTAGTATTTCTTTCGTGGTCCTGCCATGGTCCGGCCGGTGGAATTGTTGTGTCAGACCCGAACCAACTAAAAACCACTCGCCCTAATTCTTGGGGGCCGGATTTAAAGGGCGGCAAAGCACTTGTGACTCTTGGGTTGTAGGTGTCTTTAATTTTTTTTAATTTAAGTTAAGCACATCAATTACAACATCACGGGGCGATAACATTTTCATAATTGAAGGTTCACGTAATTACACAGATAATAGATATGCGTGACATTTAGTATATATCCAATGTAAAGACGTTTTATGCAAATGCTATTTAAATACATAAAGATACACACACAAACATAAGACCAAACCAGGAAAATGTTTTTTTTTAAATAAAAGACAACAAAAATAAAACAAAACTGAACAAAACTATAGGAGTTGGGTTCGCCAACATGGCTTCGTATGGAATGTCTGTATGATGTGAATGTCATAAAGAAGATATCAATGTTTTCCACTGTCATAGACCTTTCGTTATACAGCCTTGTCATGAGTATAAGGGAGCTATTGAAAGTGGTATTTAAAGTAAATACAGGTATTGCAAATGTATGTACGTTGGTGACGCATACCGTGTGTATTAGTCCTAAAGTTATTAATCTTATGGGCGATATTAGTTACTTATCATTACCGGTGACCCATCTGCTCGTTTTACCCATTATGCCATAAAAAACTCGTTGATACTTATTTCTAAATTTAATTCGGTATTTAACATTTGTATATATCACACACTCTAAATCAGTTTTAACTTAAAAATGAAACGAAGTACAGTGAAGAAGAAAATTAACGTGCTACTCACCGAGTCGGCCCAGAATTTGGTTATCGGTGCTGTAAAAAACTCGTAAATTTTCTTCCTGAGCCTTAGTGGCCTCATCCTCTTATCCTCGGGCGAGTGGTATTCCGGCAGTTCTCTGTAGGTGGGTTCCCATCCAATTTTACCAACTTTCCCGTTCTGATCGACACGAGTTTCGCATTCGGCCCCTGAGCCAATCAACGCCTGCTTGAGTCCAGACAAAATCGTATAAAGGTTACAACAATATGCTCACATCTTAATAAAATACAAGACTTGATAAAAAAATCACTGTAAGCTCAACAGTTAATAGTCACAAAGATTCTAGAAATTGCGGCTTCATTCCTTCAGGAGCAGCTGAGATGACAATAGACATGATTACACGTTAGTACAAAAATCAGACGCAAGCATGACAATAAGCAGAATATTGATATAACAACGGATAAGATATCGATAGCAAACAAAGCTGACGACATCACATACAGTATAGAGCCGAAATTTACAAGCTTTACGTTATTAAAATCATCCAAAAATTTAGTTAACACAAACATTCGAGACGAAACAGCATCGAACGATATGGTAATAAAATTTTAAAAAGTCACTGAAGTATTGAAACGATAGCTGGAGAAGAATAAAACTAATAACGAAATATTACTACTGTCCACACTGACTCAAAACTACTTTTTTTTGTACTGAGATATAAAAGTAAACATTGCCACTGTTTTAACTTCACCTCTGCTTTATTTTAAATAGGAACCGCTTTAATTAGTGTTGTCATAATACTTAATGTGAACGTAAAACAGCTGACGAAGATTAAAATTTTACCAAATTACTTAGAAAAAATCATGATCATGTGGTGTAGTAGTATGTCAAATTGTAAAATGTAGGTGAGCTTTAAACGAATGACGGTAACATAAGTACGTATAAACAGTAAAAGTAGGTACTGAGAGGTTGAACGTAATGCAGCGCCACGGAAGCCTACATCTAAAGCTTTCAACGTATCGCTCAAAATACAGAAATGTTCTTTGTTCATGTGCGTAATGTAATACGAACACAAGATAATTATGGTGAAGTGTAATGTGTCAAAAAATTTGAAATTGGCCAAAATATGTAGTGTACTGTAAATATGACGAAATATTTATTTAGTTTCAACGAAACTTATAACAGAGGTATGATGTTTTATGACCAAGTCAAAGATAATTACCGTATCTGCCCATAATACACCAAAATATAAGTCGAAAACTGCATAATGGTCAAACATTTGAACTAGAATTAATTGGGCATAAGAGATTTATCAAATTTTACTATAAATTCTGAGTTCATAGACTACAGCAAAATCAGGAGCTTTATTGCCACTATTGTCTTAAAATTTAGGCACAGGCAAGTGTAGAACAACCCTATATAGTGACATCTGTATTTCTACGCCTACATCAGTGCATTTGTGTTCGTATCACGCTAGATCAAGTCTAGGCACATGACCACTACCTTCACAGTTTTACTCGGCTGTCCAGGTGGTATTATCTTCTTGATAGATAGCGTACGCTTTTTCACAACTCCAACCTACATACGCAATAATCAAATGTATTATTTAAGCATTTTGTATTTTGTAGAAGCTCTCGAAAGCAAAGTATAGATTTTGAGCACACAAAGATCCGCCACCATGAATGAGGTATAATCTTATTCTAATGAGGGATCTTAAAGTAAAAATTTTCTTTTAGAAATTTGTCCCTTCGGACATTAAAGGTTCTCCTTTGAGAATTGTTGAGTAAAGTTAAAAATGTTTTTTCTAAGTCGTTTACTTAGATTTAGGGGCGAATCATCAAACTCTTACGTATTTCGAATCCTAGTTATAAATCCGTGTTCTGTGATTTAATAAAACGTGAATAAATAAATATGTGTGAAATTATACTATTACTCAGATGATAAAGCTGTATGGTGAGCAACCAAACACAAAAAATTACCTCAGCATCGTTGGGATCCTTGGTGCTCCTGTCATCCTCTATGCTCTCGTTCTCAAGATGCTCCTCCTCCGTCTGTGGCATCAGCTGCAGTTCCTCCTTCGACTTGAACTCCAGTTGGAGAATGTACAGCGGACACAGCAGGCTCAGAATTACCTTCACACATCACGACAAAGCCGATGTGGCAAAGAAAATGCTCGTCGATGCTAACTCACTTTGACGTAAGCGGTACATGCTATGTTTCTAGTTGAAACGGGGACCGACGCCGATTATGTGCAAGTGAGATAGCAATATTAAAATTAAAAATCCTAGTGTGTATGTCTATGAGTCGGTCGGATATCTCATCATTGAAGAATATTACACGACACATACTTCAAATATGGAACATTTAAAATTGGACTTGCATAAATCGGCGTCTTAAGGTGCATGCGAATATCCAAATGATTATACGTAAAGCGACTCATTGACACACAGACATCGAAATATCTTTACAATCGAGTTCACCGTCTGTTATTCTCTAAGTTAATTTCTAACATCGAAATCTACTGATCGTGCCTTCTGATACTACTAACATAAGAGACGTATTATTAATTAATACTCTCCGATCACACAATAGGTATGTCTAGATAGGTATTTAATTGAAAATATATGGTTATTACAATCGCTCATTTTCTATATAATTAATACGTCTCTAACGTTTTCGCTTCTGAGAAAGTGCGAATGACAAGTCTGTGCGTTAATAAGATGAACGTCTAAAAGAAAAGAGATAGAAAGACAAATGACGTTGTATATACCTTAAGGTTTGTGTTTTTTCTCGTTCTCAGACCACCCATCCAAAGGTCAGCTAGAATGATTTGTGAGCAAGGGTGAGCTAGAAGAGCGCGGTGATTAGCTGCAACTGCTAGGCTGAGACAGGTTTGACCAGACCAGTTTTGTAGTTCACAAGTGAGTAACTGTTGGGCTTGGTCATCGTCTTGGCGGTAGCAGTAGTCTAAAAGCTCCAGAGCTATAGAAGAAGAAAATAGACATTGAGATTAGTCGTAATTATGTTAAGTTTTTATTACGGATTAAAAGATTTACAATGTTTGCATATTTTGTACAAACTTAATTAAAACCTGTTTAGGCGTGAAACGTAACAGAGAGGCATAGTTACTTTCGCATTTATACGAGTAATATCACTGGAATACTGATAACCATACTTCTTAATATGACCTACGTATTGAAGGCGCGCGCTTGAATGCCCTGTCTGCATTAGTCTGAGGTAATTTATTTATATAATATATACTTCATATATATACCTCACACATCTCACACACAGCCGTCTGATTCCAAGCTAGGCAGTGCCTGTGTTATGGCAACCTGTGCTATGGATAAACATACTTATATATTTTTAAATACATACATATTATAGATAAATTACACCCAGACAATGAATAATAACGATAATTTTGAAGTCAGATATTAAAACTTGCATTTTATACTTGTCAAATTCAGCCTTCACTTATTCCTCAAAGGTCTTTACGCAATAGCGCCAAAGAGAAATATGAAAACCCCCTTTTTTTTTTTTGACGGGGTGGAAAATCCCTTCGGATCTCCTGCTCCTCGGGGCTAGGAGCTAGGAGTATGTGGTGATTCCACTAAAAACCACCCCGACGCCCGGCCTCAGGTGCCTTTTGTTTTTTTTTTACCGTGCGGAAATCCCCTCGGATACCACCTGTCGGTGGCATGTCAGACTCGAACCGACTAAAACCGCACGCCATCTCGGGTACTAATAGCCGGGGAACCAGGTATACCCTAGAAAGGAAGTCCCTGGTACCCCGACATACCTCGGGTCATCTACAGACGAGTAGACGACCCCCCACCCCCGTGAACCCCATGTTCCCTGTGCTCCCTGGAAGCGAGCGCGCTTCGCAACGCGCTCGCCGCCACCCCGGTCTGCTTCTGCTAGGGTGACAGATGGCCTCACCTGTCACCCCCAGGCCTGCGCTTATGGAGGACGGAGGTCGTTTTGCAACCTCCGGCGCCTGAGTCGCCCGCGGTACCTGACCCGTTCCCGGGCCTGGCGGGCCGGGAGAGTCCTAAACCTCTCCCGGTCCCGCTCCGCCGTCTCCTTCCAGAGAGTTCCACGCACTCTCGCTCCGCACGATAGCCGCAATCAGGCTATCGAGCGAGAGAACTCCCACTCCGATGGCCGCCACGAGGTCTCGCCTCTGCTCAACCCACGCCGGGCACTCTGCCAGCGTGTGGAGAGCCGTGTCCATGGTCTGGCCATCGCAGTGGTGGCACTCAGGCGTTGGCTCCTTGCGGATCAGACACAGGTGATCCCCGAAACATCCTTTCCCAGTGATCACCTGCGTCAGTCGGTATGAGAGGGTCCCGTGACGCCTCTCGAGCCAATCCTCCATAACGAGTCTTACCGCCGCGATGACGGCGTGCCCGGACTCTGGGAGGACCTGGACCATGTTATTTCAGGTCCTCCCCGAAATGACACCATGCCTAGTCAGGCCCTATCCCTGGGGAATATGAAAGCCCCTAGAGATTGAATGCAGGCCAGGAGTTATTGGAAACTATATCATAAATTCTAGATACATTATGAACTATGAATAAATAAAGGGAAAATTTTACTTTATTTATTATTTACAGTAAATGGACAATTGACCTTCGCTCGATCTATTCTTTTTGTACAATTTTGTCTTTCAGAAAAAAAAATTTTTTGGACAAACTTGAGAAATGAAATTCTTATCGAAATCGTTACGGTCGATTAAAGTTAATAAATTAGAAATATATCTCAGAGACAAAAGTATACATAGAATATGGAATGTAATACGTTATTTTACATTATTTTGTACCGATATGACCTGATGTGAACTGTGTGTGAACTCTCTCACTCATGTCTTTCTTGTGTTAAAATTATTTGCACTTACTAACACGAATTTTAACTAAAATTTTATTATATTAGATTTTGCCCTCGGCTCCGCCAACGTGTTTGTCAGTTATCGCGGTAAAAGTGGTTCTTAGTACTCAGGGATAATACACCTTTTTAACATTGGAAGAATTATCAAAATCGGATAAGTAGTACCGGAGTTTACTCCGAACATACAAACTCACAAACTTGACCTCTTTGTAAGGTTAGTATAGATTAGAAAAATAACCTTAAAATTTATAAAGTTTGCATCTTTAATCGGGCTTTAGAAAGGAGGTTTTGGCCTACTATACCACGCTGGCCAGACGGGTTGGTATAGGGTTTGTGTCAAGTTTTCCTTCTTTTTGCAGCGCTGTTGTTCTGCGTAGTTAGCTCCCTTAGTCGGCTCTTACGACACCACACACCACACCACACGGATTACCGATCGAATCGAATATCACCTATCTTATCTTTGACTAATACTAGTTATCTTACTAGATTTTTTGTGCTTTTGTTTCTTTCAGCAGGATCCTTATATGAAATCTCAGTTCAATTGTAGAAAAAGTATCAATATTCTAAGTTTGTTTTTACACGCTTTATATTAGCTTCACTTGTATGTTTGTTTGTATGTTTGTAACAGACTCCTCTAGGCGTGATTTTGACTGACTTTAAACGGTCAGCATTCGTTCAAAGTTTGTAGATATATCGAGGACCGATGAAAATACACTTATTTAAAAAAAAAAAAGTTTTAAAAAACTAAAATAGAAAATCAATTTGAAAAAAGCGTGGGGTGCTTTTTACTATTGACAACAGGCTTATAATTTTTTTTAGAAAACGGTTACTTAATAATCTAATATATAATAATGTTTTTTAATACATAAAACTAACTTTAATTAAAGTTTCTAATGTTGCAGGCGTCCAGACACATCTGTAGTTTAACGACGCCGTTAAGTTTATTCACCTTGCAGTTTTAAGTTATTACTTAAAACTTACGAAATTAACTCTTACACTTAATACGGTATTCATTACACCGAGGGCGAAAGGGTGGTAACAACTTTACACGCAATTTCTCGCTCAGTAGATACTTTGTAGATGTATAATACATTGCATGTAGTTATTAATTGTACTTTAGACTAAATAAGAGGTGAATGCGACAAAAATGACCTTTAGAAAAAAAATGTGAGTACTGTATCTGTAAAATTTTAACATTTGATTTGAATTCTCAGTTTATTGCAATTTAATGACGATGAAATCTTTTTACAAAGTTCTAAATGTAAATTATTTTTCTTTACTTTAGTAGACTAAAGATGTAACGTGTTTGTTTTTTGTTTTGTAATGACTTTTTACTTTTACTTACTACTACTACGTATTTACACTTATAGCATTCAAGCATCACAATCAACCTTTGCTCAGAAGTAGAGAGTTTGACCCTATTCTGCAGTGTTTCTTTCACTGCCATACTTTTTTATTGTATTTTTATTTTTATAGCCTGTATTTGCAAGCATTTACAATGAAAATTTTATCTTCATTGACCATTTGACCCTTTGATCCTAGTACTCGATTTAACGACACAGCTATAAATAGAGCTTTATTCGCACGTACAAAACAGACGAAGTTTTGTTTTTTTAGGAGATCCGGAGTCATAGAAAAAGATATTGGAATTAGACAAGCACGATTAGTAGTAGATTAATTACAGTATGTATGTATGTATACCTGTCCGTCATCGTTACGTGCTCATCTCCTCAATTATTATTATTATCTTTTTAAAACATAAAAAAACTTAATTTCTAGTGCACCTACTCCGAAATTTCCCCACCCTAAGGTTGACTGACGGAGTAAATGGCTGTGGCATTGAGTCCGCCATTGTACAATAAGGTTCTAATTTGCGCAAAAATAATAAATTTAAATAAATTACTCTAGATTACCACATAGAGAAGATGGATGGCATTACATACATATATACATTCACGACCTTATCGCCGAAGGGGTAGACAGACACATAGATATTGACTACATTTTGCCTATTATATTTTTTATAATTTCCACATACGTATTCATTCATTATCAAGCCTATTGTCGTCAACCGGGAATTTAAGTAAAGGTATTTCTATATAAACCCTTTTATACATATGTGTTATACCAGAGACTATTTCATTTGACTGCCTCGGAGGTGCAGTGATAGCGTATGCGACTGCTGTGCTGAGGTCTCGGGTTCGATTTCCGGGTCGCAACAAATGTTTGCATGGTCTGCAAATATTTGTTTTGGAGTTTGGGTGTTTTCTATGTATAGTATGTATGTATTTACAAAAAAAAAAAAGTATATCATCAGTCAGTCTTTCATAGTACACGTTCTGCTTAGTTTGAAACAAGATGTCCGAAAATATTATATTGTATTATGTTGTAAGTACCTACCGTACCGGTACCGGTCAGGGTCTCAGGACCACTGTCTGATCAGGGGCATCAAATAATACATATAAAAAAAATCATGTACTAAAATAATTTTCTTACCTTTAGTCTCAAATTCTTTTCCGTAATGCCTGAGTTCCTCATAGACCTCCGTCTCCATATCATCCTCAGCTGCTTCATGTGCCATAGCTTTGTATAACTTACAGGCAACCAGGGATTTCGCCAATGCCTCTTCTCCATGCGTCCACATTAATAACGCCATCTGGTGTCGTTTCGTTAAAACTGCCCACATCTACAAACATAAACGATTGGATGTTAATTTATTTTTAGTTTCTTATGCATTAATAATAATAATAACCTCACACATCTCAATATATTATAATTATTGTTTTCTACAGATGAGTATTATCATCAGAACTCCATGATTGGCAGGTGTTGAGAGTATTACAAGAAGTAATATTCCATTAACAAGAGGGAGAACTCCCCCTGCGTTTTCGCATAATTATTTGAAGCTATGCTAATTGCTATGGCATTTTTATGGTAGCTATACTAATATAATAAAGTTCAAGAGTTTGTTTGAGCTTATCTAAGGAACTACTGGGTCTATGTGAAAATTTATTTGTGTTGGTATTGAAGAAGATTGTGGACTATATAACATAACGCTACGACCAATAGATGAGAGGCGGCAGTCGGTTAAAAAAAACGGGGAAAATTTATTCCGTTTGGGAGACGTAAACGAAGTTACGTAGCTATTTAAACTATAAAAATGGCGTAGCAATCAGCAAGTTGACCATTTAATTATTTCTATTATCTCTGATTTCTACTTACTATTACTATTTTAAATCTAAGTTTCTAGTAACGCTCAAGTTTATTAGTAGCGTTATAATAGTCTCTAGTAAAATTGGAACAAATATTTAACAATTAATTAACCAGCTCACTTAACGAATTTTATTTTAGGGATTAATGTGTTATCATCGAAGGTAATATTATGTTCAAAAGTAATTATTAACTACTAAGAAAATAATGTATTTGCTAGTAATCTTAACTATTAAGAAAAAAAATGCGAATTCGTTTGTATGATAAAAAAAAATGCGAATTGTTTGAATTCGTTATCTGCATTCACTACAGTAATTATCACGTATGCTGGTGTGGTAGAAGTCTTGGTTTCGTGAGCGCTTCTCTTAAATTTAAGAAGGCCAAGGCCCTCTGCACTCAATGGTGTGATTGCCTACGGCGGTCATAGTATGACGGTCATAGTCTCGGGGACTTTTTTCTTGGGATAAACCCAAGTCCCTTGCAATACACTGACGGAATACCTTGTGGTTTTAGTCGGTGCGATTCCGACATACCACTTCATGGAGAGCCCCCGTGAGGTGATGATCCATGGGGGTACAGCCTAACAAAAATATGCAGGGGTACAGAAAATAGTACATGGGGTATTTTTCATTCCAAAATAGTACTGTACCTTGGGTATAGCCTAAAAGAAAAAAGCATTTACCTGGCCGAGTGCTTCACTTATTATTTAGTCAGTTTCAGGCTTCGCAAATAATAACTCTTAAGCATACTTTTATAAAATTATATATCTATTATTGGAGTTTTTCAAAAGCAAAAAGAAATTGCGAAGTTGGAGCTTTTCAGATATCTAATAATTGTATGTTTTTATTATTTTCGCTAATGATAATTTTACCTAAATTGTAGAAAGCGAAAAGAAATTGCAAAGAGACTTGCATGTTGCCTTGCCTCAAGAACACCCTATCCTCTGAACATTTCATAAAAAAATACGCATTTATGTCAGTATTTTTAGATTAGTGTAATTTCGACCAATCTTGTTAGAGCACATGGTAGCACCAACTTGCAAACCGAGAAGTTTGTCTTCTTATTTTCTACGAGTATATCTTTCAATACTTTTATGAATTGGCTCAGTACTTCAGAAACCAGTATGGCATACAGCAATAGAGCATTCGGAATAGCTTCTGTTTTTTTCTCAACCTTAAGCTATGTTAAATCTAGACTCCATTGAGACTGCTCCGATAAGCGTGTTAGTTATGGCTATCGTGTGTTTGATAAAACAAACACACAATAGCAGTACCCGAATAACACTATCTAACCACGGACTCATATAGGTTATGATTGGTACTCAAAGTTTTTCTAATTCAAGAAGGTGCTCAAAGTTTTTTCTAATTCAAGAACTACCTACCCTACCACCTTTAAAGTTATGTTGCCTTCGATTCGTTGCATCAAGTATCATGCTATCAAACACGCTAAATCCGAGCATAGGCAAGCCATAAACAAACACCTTCGTGTTCTACAAATATTGACCCATCCACACGGAACGTGTTATTCTGCTTGACCAGGCAGTGAAATTGGCTGAACATCTATTGAACATACTCGTAAACTTGCTGGAAAGAGCTTAAAGCATTGTGGTTGCTATGTAGATATTGTTTAATTATACTAAAGTAGTAGTGGTTACGTATACATGAATATAGAAAACAGGTTTATTTTATTATATTTTTGTACTGATGATCAAATAAATATGTTAGGATACATAAATAGCTTTATAAAAAAATAATAAAGCTTCTGTCATTTGGTCGTAAAACTTTGTTTTGTGCATGCCTTCATGCGTCGGCACAAAAAGAGTGGTTCGACCGAAGTGATAACACGGTCTCACAGAAGACCGGTGTTTAGCAATTCTCTGCTTTTCCAACCCTCCCCCTTCCCCCTTTTTCCTTCCCATTATTATGGGAGAGGGCACTCAAAGGACGGCAACAAACTAGTGAGTCTAGTAACTCTCAAGTTGCAGTTGTTCATAGGCGCCGGTTGTCAAATACTATCAACTGACCCGTCAGCTCGTTTGCCCCCCAATTTAAAAAAAGAACTCCTCTATTCATACCTATATGTCTTTTCCACTATTTCCCTTCTTATCTACCTTTCCTTTCTATTAACTCTCAATTATCTTATGTAATCCCTAAGTACCCGGGTGTTGACAATAAGAGAAAGAAAACTTGACACAAACCCTATAGCAACTAATATGGCCATTGTGGTATAGTAGGCCTAAACCTTCTTTCTAAGGAGAGATCTACTAGTAGTACTACGACTAGTAAATGCTGTTAATGATGATGATGCCGTAAGTGGGACTAAAATTTTATTTAGTAAAATATCGGCGTTTGGTACGTCTCTGCCTGTCTCCTCAGAGATATAGGCATAAGTGTTTGGTTAATGTTCTCTATACGTATATCTAAATTACCATTCAATTTATCACAATAAAGCAATATACCCAAGCGTTAAGATGCATTACTCAGGAGTGCCTATTAAACAGGATGTGAACAATGGTTTACTGACTCGGTGCAAACACTGACATTGAGATTGCGGATGTTCGCTAGCTTTAAATTGATATTGAATCTGTAAGCCTTTGTACAGATATTGACTTCCTATTTGTGTTCTAACGCTTATATAATGGTCTCTGTTCTGGGCACTGTTTAATTTCGAACAGCGCCTATTTATTGCACATGTCTACTTTTAAAAACCCCTATAGTATCACTTGAGGAGGCAAGAACCTTTGATCTTAAGAGTAAGAGACATATCCTCACATATAATTCAACTTTCAGACAGGAAGGCAAAGTGTGTATATCATGGAAATTTTGATGCCAGACTAAAGGCTGAAAAGTATCATATGTTTATAAGTTACAGTGACCCCTTTCGCTCTGGCTACAGCTTGCTGTGACCTTAAGGTAAAAGAAAGAAAAATAACAATAAACTTACGAGTAGTTCGTTGAAAGGGTAGTCGAAGAGCGCCATCTCTGTAGTGACGGGCATAAAGCCGGTGATCAGGGAGAGCCCTCCGGCATTGTGTCGGGTGAACGAAGCACTGTTGCGATGAACGTTGACGCTTTTGTTCATCACCTTGGCGTAGATAGGACGGAACTTGCGGCGGGTGTAGTAGCATCTGAGTAAAAAAGCCCTCATTTTACGTCTATATCTCACAAGCAGTTGCTGCTGTGATGCCTGGGTTATCAGCAGTAACCAATAAAATGTAGACTACGATACTGAGTGAGTCACAGGGTAAAATATAATTAACTTGACTGAAGTAAATGCGAAACGAATTAAGCATAGTTTTTTAAAATATACCGTTTAGAAACCAAATTCATTAAGTCACTAACTTTACTTACACCTGGTCTATTTGTGTAAGATGTCCTGACCAGAGGAGGAATATTACAACTAAAACTTAAGAATAATGATACTGAAGAAATGTTTTCTCGATAGAACTTTGCAGTTAGAAGTTGAGAAGATATTCTTTGTCTACAACGGAACGCATCCTTTTATTTTTACTTGCTACCCACATTTTTTTACTTCTACAAAATGATTAAATTGTAAAAGCAATCCATAAATAAACTTTTGTACTGTATCTTTTACACAAGAAATAAAATGTATTTTTCATCAACTGAGGTTTGTAATTTTTAAACTTCTAAATGAGAGTCTCCTTTCCCTGGTCACATGCTAATATGATTATATATAATATGTTCCATGATATATAACATACATGGGTAAAGGTCAGCCAATTAAAAGCTACGTAATACCAGTTACGTGATCGCGTTAATTTCTGCATTGGTATTTAAATAATTACCTATGTCACGATTTATTAAAACAATTACGTTTTATTTTTAACTTTATTTCAAATACTTATTGTGAGCTTCAAAATCACTAAAGAGACTCCTGTAATTGATGGCAACCTCAAAAGACTACATCATATTTAAACTAATTTCAATACTAACCTATATGCACCTCCCATGAGTTTATTGATCACTAGCCCGATGTCATGCAGAGTATATATGTAACCTCTAGGTAGATGAGGCCTCACATCTCGAAGAATATACCTAAAAAGATAAAAATATATTTTACCACTCCACGTGAACGAACTCTACTAGGTAGGTACTTATTACACTGGACTCATGTTTGAAATTTATGTTATGTTGAAATCCTCGCGAGAGTCCAAATGGCTTGTTACGGGACTTGTTTGTTTGTTATAAACGAGATTGTAGCTGAAAATTCTTTGGAATGATGATGCTATAAAATGGTGCAGTAGTATTCACATATATTAAAAATATATGGTTTTACTTTAGTTGTGCATTAGAGTGCGGCAGGACGGAAGCTTGACTTCTTGATAAAGGACGTTCCCTTTTTGCCATCTCCCATTGTATACACAAGTAAGTAAAACCGTGTATCTTTAATAAATAGTTTTTTGAAGACAAGTCGAAGTATGCGAATATTAATTTAAGGTTATAGGAAAATAATATAATCAACATCCAGAGTTTTTTTTTATAAATAGACAACTCCCGCATTAGGAATATATCCTGTGTCGCGGGGGACTTTACAAACAAACGTGAAATGGACACAAAGAACACCCAGACTGAGAACAAACATTTTTTGATCACACAAAGTGTTGTCTCATGTGGGAATCGGATCCACAACACGCGTATTAGTAAGCGGCGAGGTGACCTCTTAAACCACTACGCCAGTCTTGTTATACAAATTGGAGTATGAATATTAATCATAAGATTTTTTTACAATTTTCATGGATCTCTTTATATTTTTTTGAAAATCGAACGTAAATGAAAGTCCTGATGAATGTGGAAAAAGTGAGAGCAGTACGTCAGGACCGCAGCAAATGGCGCACTATTGTCGCTGTTTACTCCGAACGGTAATGAAGCGTAAGTATATACTTATAAATTTATTTTACCTTAACGTATTGCTTGGTCCACTCTTAGTATTATACAACTCTTCCAACCGAGGTATTGTAAGGAATTTTCGCATGGATACACCATTTTCAAGAAGAAGTTTCACAAAATCAATACGGTCGTGCTCCAAGGCTTGCATCATAGCTTCATCGAGAGCTCCTGCAAAAAAATGCTATGATAAAATAATCTTCTCTTTTGTCTACTTCTTCTTCACTACAAATACATTAATACAATTGCACTCTGTCACAAAACTACCGCAGTTATAACTTTAAACTCTCCGTCACAAAGTACACTTTGTACACCTCGTTATAGATTTAGTTTTTGTTGGTTAAAAGGGATTCCGTCGGGGTTCTTTCAGTACGTTTAAACTGGTTACCATTTTAAATGCACAGGTTGTTTACTTTGTTATTTACGTTTTATTTGTTCGTATTTCACAATTTATTTATATGTGTCAAAAATAGTTGAGCTCTGCGGACTCACGAGCGTTAAACTTGCATGTTTATTGTTCCGCCCCGGGTCACGGCGAGGATAGGGATGTTTATTTTTAATTTTGGACATAGTTAAACACAAAAGAACAACATTATATTTATAAACTGAATCGGAAAGATAATAATATAGTTAATTTTATAATTTACCCCCACCAATCCGCCCAGACATTCGCAATCGCATCGCAATTCGAATTCCATTACGTCACTAAACGATAAACTAACATCGCTCGGTAGTCAAAAGTATAAGTCAATTAGGATTAGCTTAAAATTTACTTTACGATTTCTTTATATTGTAGTCAGTTATATATAAGAGAAGGTAATATAAATACGTGTTAAAAGTGCCTGGTTTCTCTGTCGCTAAGCAAAACAGTTCCTGAATTAGCTGTCTTAGGAATACTTAATTACCCCAGTATTTATTCACTGTGCTGTGTGGTTGGCAGTATTAATGACTGGCCTGTTGGTCAAGTGGTTAGTGACCCCTGACTGCTAAGCCAGAGGTCGTGGGTTCGATTCCCACCCAAGACAAATAATTGTGTGATGAGCAGGGTCATTTGTTCTGTCTCTGGGTGTACTTTATCTATAATATGTAGGTATTTAGAAATATATAAGTATGTTTATCAGCAGTCTGGTTACCATAGTACAGGCTCCGCCTAGTTTGGGATCAGTCGGCCGTGTGAGAGATGTATAAAAATATTATATTAATATTGATTATACGCTTGTAAAACAGTGTAGCGAATATAATGCAGTGTAATGGAGATGGCCAAACCAAGCATCTCTCGGTTATTATTAAGTTAGGGTTGTCATTAATTCGAAAGCATTTATAATACAATTATATTTAGATGGAGCAGAGAAGTGATTTCAAGACAACTACAAGTGCATTTGTAAGTGGTGGTATGAAGCCAATCGCCGGCAATATTATACAGTTAATTAACTTAAGTAATAGAGATAGGTGCTTTTAGTATGGTTGTATAAAGGCCTTTTTTTGTTGACGGGGTGGATATTCCCTTCGGATCGCCGGCTCCTTGGGTATGTGGCCAGGAGTATGTGGTGTTTCCACTAAAAACCACCCCAACCCATACTCAGGCGCCTTACTCCGAGGAGGACCCGGACCATGTTATTTCAGGTCCCCCCCAGATTGACACCTTAAAAGTGTATTGTTATAAATAATATAGTATCGTAAGTGTGCTTCTAAAACAATTTTTCCTAACAAGTTTGTGCAGCCCTACTTGCTTTCTTCCATTCCTTCCACCCGTGACTACTTTGAATCTATTTAGAGGACACCTGAGACCTTATACACGTGTCGCATTATTGTGACATTTTCATCGTAAAATATATACGCTCATAAAAACGGGGTAGGTATGATTGTGTTAACATACGAAGTAGCTGTGAAACTTGGTCGTTTTTGTTACCCTATAATACATATCATTATTTTTAGTATACCATAAAGCTGATCGTGAAAGTGACCGTGTTAATTCATAAAAAAAAAATATATGTTGCAACGCTTAAGGCATAAATATGGAAGTGTTTTTGATTTATCGGGCGTTTTGAGTTGGGTTTTCCAATGGATCACCTATCTGTGATCAATAAATTCTCAGTAAACATATAGGCAGAGGGACTCCTGCTGCAGTTAAATTGAATAAAAGGTTTGAGTTAAATATTTCCACCTAGTTCTCTTGTAAATCAAAGATTTGTATTGCATACTCAAATGAAAGAAATCGTTCCAGTGAATGTTCTTAGAGCAAAGCTAATCATATACCAATTAAAAAATATAGAGATAGAAACTTATTAATACATTAGCTTGCTTGCTAGCTTGAAAATAAGTTAAGAAGGTTAGAAGTTAGGGGATTTCCTTTCAATAAACAATTAAAACCGTTCAATAAAAACAGATTAGGTCAATTGTTTAGATAAACGGTTTGACAAACTCGCCAAAAATTTTCATGATTTTTTAGTATTTAGATTGTACTCCTTTTCAAGGATTGGCTAAATAGATTCAAAGTAGTCACGTGTCCTTTAAATATATTCAAAGTAGTATACTGTTAGGTACTTGAAATTGGAGCAGACTTTTATATACTATCCCATCAAACGAATTGGTTTCAGGACTGGAGAGACCGCCGAAATCGCAGAACATTTACTCAGTTTTAGTTCTGCTGATTTTAAAGCCAACATTTTAGAACCTTTGTTGCCATTTTTCCAATTTGCTCTGGACCTCACCTCCATCTTCACCGACCAACACAATGTCATCTGCAAATCGCATGCACCAAGGTGCCTCCTCCTGTATGTCCGATGTCAGAGCATTCATTATCAACAGGAAGAGGTATCGGCTCAGGGCCGATCAATGGTGTAAACCTACAGAGACACTGAATTGAAACCTTCGCGCAACTATCAATAATTTAATAGGTACCCTGAAGTTTAACGGAATTGGATAGCTTTCATTATATCTACTATATAATGTACCTACTGATGCTGCTCCCCTAAATATAATAACAATGCTCTACCGGATAAAACGTGTTTGTATTATCTCAGACAATAAAGATAACATTTATCTGTGAAGAAAGTAATAATGAAAATAACAAAGATTGTTCTTTTCTTGCAATTTAGAACTCAAAAGCAAATAATATCATATTTTAATATCCGTAAAACACTATTTTACTAAAACAAACAAGTTAACTACACAAATTCGCTGTACCTATTATTATATTAACATAGACAAACTTGACAAGGAAAATGGTGTGTAAAATGTTATGCAAAGGTTAACAAGATGTCGGAGCATACAAAGTTTAGCTATCGCCCGAACTGACTGTGTATAAAAGTTGTTTTTACAGAATTGGACTTGACTCAACAGGTATGTACACGTCCCTTTGCCCTTCAAGTGGCTGGACGCCGTTTGTGCAAAATTTGGCGCCATTGGCCATCTAATATATTTAATATATAAATATAATATAATATAATATAATATAATATAATATAAATATAGTTCGTATGTTATTAAGAAATGTTTCAAATGTATCAAACAAAATACGCTGTAATAACGCTCTTAAAGAAGTTTTATAATCAACCATAGCTATTCGATTTTTAAGGACTTAAATTTGTCTATAGGTATAGGATAGGATATACAAACCATAGTGACACACACCACATATATATGTTAAGTTGGTTTGTGTACGCTTCAAAAACTCAAAACCCTCTGCACCGATTGAGCTCAAATATTGAAACGATGTACAACACGCTTCAATGATAGTTTTTATCTATTCTTGTAACCACAATGTGCCATAGCGAGGCATGACAGGGTACAGCTAGTAACTAATTTTTCTTTTTAATAACTGAAATAAATATTCTATTCTTTAGTTCTTATTTAATTTGAAGCAAGAGAATGATTTATTTATTCATTAAATAATTCAATCTAACTCCTAATATAAAATAGGTTAACACAAATCTATAAGAAATTTGTCTTTGGTTTCTATTAAATAAAAGGATTCAAAGGCTATCCTTTGAATTCCGTTAATCGAATAACGTACAGGCGACAGAGGGCCATTTCTTTCTGGGTAAACAGAAGCACATCATTTACCTACCCTTTTAATCTATTCTACTTTGGCTATTGAAGAACTGGATTAAGTTTGGAGAGTAATAGTAGTCTGTAATTGAATATGAATTTAAGTAGATGAAATATCAATTAAGGTAAAATGAAGTGAATTGATTATGTATGACAAGTAATTCTTTCGGCAAAAGTAAAGTAAATCTTTCGTAATTATTTAAAAACAAATCATCATAAAACACGTGAAATGCCCTAGAAATGACTGCTTGAGACTAGTTTCAGCTTATTTCACGTAAACAAACATCGTTCTTAAATAAGCTATCACTCACTTAAGTATAGATCGGTGAATTTTAGTTTTAAGATTAGATTCACGACTGAGACACTTTTAAAAATACGGGCTGAGTCCTTTGTGAAATCTTTACATAACATAAAATGAACACTTTCTTGTATGATTATTTCTTTTAAACTACGATTACTAATCAAACTAGGATTTGTAATGTAAAGTTGTAACAAACATGTTTTTGTCCGCTTACATTGCAAACACGCTAAACCTTACGAGATAGATTAAAATAATGTATTATGGAATTGTATATCTTAAAAAGATCTACAAAAAGTTCTCGATAGATCAACATTTCCTTTCACAGCATATCATGAAGATGAATATATTAGTAGATATCAGTGATTTAAAATTCGGGGCAAAGCCGCTTTTAAGTCACGCAGGCGTTTATTTCGAAGGAAAAGGAAGGAAATAAATTTTGCTTATAGAGATGGGTTAGGCAGTAGAGTGGAAGTAATAGGTCGAGCACGTCAATGTCGAATATCTGTAATTAGAGATGGCTTTCCAGGACTTCTTTGTTTACTAGATACTTAAAATTGTTATAGGTTCTAAGTTGTCATATGGTAGACTAGTGAGACCACAGTAGCATATTCTTGAGATGCGAGCGTCTCATAAATTATTTGCAAAGACTTCAAATAGGGCGTAGACCCTATTAAAACGCGGAGAAAAAAGTATGCAAGAAGAATTTATCCCTTTTTATCATCATCGATAGCCTTTAATAGTCTACTACTGGACATAGAAAGAAGGTTTTGGCCTACCTATATAATACTACACTGGCCAGATGGGTCAAGTTTTCCTTCTCTTTGTACCTGTTCCTTCTGTTTGCTACTTTAGTCGGCTTTTTACGATACCCACGCGATGAATAGGCTTGTTTAAAAAAACAAAAAGACCTCACTAACGCTCCCAAAAACACATATAGCATTTTTGTAGATATCGCCCTGTTCACAGCGATACTTGAACACGTAGCCAAATTACCATACGAGTCTCATTTGAACAGCGATCGAAGCAATCGTATGGAAATATGAGAAAGACGGTTTTATTCAATAAATTTCTATAATTTATCGACTGCTGTATATTTAGCTCTCAGTTCAAAAAAACAAAATGTAATAAACTTTTAAAACTGAGATTTAGCTATGTCGAGTTTTTTAATACGACTTTATTATATAATTTATAAATACGACTTTCATTCTCATTGAGGCTGATGAAACTCCAAAATTACAGACCAATGACTTTACATATACTATAAATTAGTATTAATAAATTAAATAAAACTAAGCCAAAAAGCCCCAGAACAGCCTGATAATACATCTGAATACTTGCTACTACTTCCTAGATGCTGAGTAAAATGTTGTAAATAAACAGAGAATATTTATATATACCACTTTCACTTCAGTGAAGGATAATTTACAAGCATAGTCACTAATTTTATACTTCTACCTTCTTATTTTTATTAGCTATTACACGTGGCTTCACGTGCCTAATATTTCTTATTTCGTGTTTCTAACTTTGAAAATGACGAACTTCCATACAACCGTTCGTCACTTGTTTTACCCCTTTAGAGATGAAATTCAAAATAATTCTTACTTGGTGAGTCCTTTGAGAATAAAAAGCGTCAGCTACCAAAATTTCAAGTATGTAGCCAAAGCGATTTAGGCTCTGGGGTTATAAATCAGTTAGTCCAGTATTTTTATATGCCATTTTATAGGCAGGGTAAGTAATATTCTCTTCTAGGGTATACCTGGTTACCTGGCTATTAGTACCAGAGACGACGTGCGGTTTTAGTCGGTTCGTGTCCGACATGCCACCGATAGGTGGTATCCGAGGGGATTTCCGCACGGAAAAAAAAGGGTAAGTAACATTATATGTACAAATTCACAACCAATGAATTTTTATAATATGATTAGTCTACAACTAATATTATCAAGATTGTGATTTTCTGCTGATTTCTTTTTTATTTAAGCTACAAATAAGTTTAGTGATTAGGAGTTTCTTTGCAATGAATAGTTTAACAGCTGCGTTAAATCGTTATTTTTTTTATTATATTTCGGGAGCTTACGGCTAAAGTAACAAAATTCATATGATGTTAATTATATGTTATAAGCTAGTAATTTAATTATTGCTCTCATATAAATGTACATATATCATGCTCTGCTAGCCGTGCGACGTAGAGGCGGTTTACAAGTAATACTAACAAAATTAAACCAATGAACATTTACATTTGTTGTTAATATACATTAATCCTTTTATCTCGGAACCTAAGAAACGTTTTTGAATAAACTACATTTTCAAAACAGTGCGAACCAAACGTAAGTTACCAAACACAGGAGAGATCAATTAATGGAGAAACCGCTTAAGCCACGATTATAAACTTTGAAATTTGGCGATGGTTTCTTATATAAAGGGTAAGGTCTTTGAAGAGGTGGGAAAGTTTGATTGGTATAACAAATTGGCGGTTTAGTTAAACAAGACGTGTACCGAATACCCATTGCCTTGTAACGTAACGTAAATGTATTTCCAGCTTTACTCTTGTTTCATGGTTAAAATTAATGATACCTACGTAGAATTGTATTTTGTAGATGAAATTTTTGTTACAAGTCAATGTGCTTGTCAGTTTGAACTAAAAGATAGTTAACTTGCAGTGGGAAAGATATGAAGAGATCAAGCTTTAGTTAAAAGCTTGAACGAAGTTAGGAAAATAGGCCATACTATTCTTCAATTGATACAACCTATATTATTTTTAAACTTTTAGTCGCGGCACGAGTTCTCCACTTATTTGTGGGGGAGACTCAAAGGGTGGTAACGCACTTGTGACTCTTGAGTTATAGGTGTCAATGAGCGGTGGTAGTCATTTACCATCAGGTAACACTGCTTAGTTTAAACAGACATACATACGTCAAGCAGTATTTAAAACCTTCAAAATCAAAGATTAAGGTTCAGTCGAAGCAAAAACAGGAAACAGTAAATCCATTTCTTACCTGGCGGCCATTCCTGTCCATACACAAAAATTTCTGATCGTGCAATGTCCACTCGGTTCCACGTCAATGCAAGCGACAGCTGTTCGCTCGGAGAAAGATGCTGGGCCCTGAACAGCGCCGTCAGAATCACTTGATCCAACTCCTGAACTTCACCACCCTCAGCGCGCTCTTGGATTCTGAAGACGGTGATCTGTAACAAGAATAATTTTTATTTGAAAAGCCTATCGGTGTTGGATGCTTCGGAGTTCATATAACCATAGATCCCACACACACAATTGTATAAATAAATAATTAACAATTGATTGTATTTCGAGGGGCTCGTGGAAGTGGTAACTGAAAAGATTAACACATTGCAAAGCTAAGCAATCATCTTAACCAGATCAGTCTATGGATGGGTGACCATTTCTTAACACATTAGGACCCCTTCGTACCTCGGTGAAAAGCGTAAGGCGTTACCGAGCCCTAAAAAGTCTGACACCAGCCCTTCTACAGAAGTTCGATTACGCCTACTTGGGTTGTGGGATCTGATGTCACTCCGCATTCAAGTTCAGCCATATCGTACTAGACTTAAAGCCGACCACAACCTAGTTTCTTCACAACCTTTCTAAAGACAAGACCGGTCAGTCACTTTGGTCCTCCTGATTAAGAATGGGTGGCCCTCCAAAGCCCGCAATAAGACATATCATTTTTTAATGGGAGTAACCGGTCCTTCCTAGTAACTGCAAAGAATACTTTGTTGTTCCTATAGTTTAATTTTCATAAACTATTATTACAGATAAGGCATAGACCCTTAATAAAGGAACGGTTTGGATAGTTTGAGCAAGACATGTTGATTTAGGATTTATTAAGTTAGGAAGTTTTCAATAATATTGAGCGTTTGTCGTATTCGAATGACTATGAAGTAGCAGATTGGATAATAGATATACATATATTTTTTTACTACAACATCAACTTTGAAGTGTACAATTTACTAAAGTACGGCAAAAAGCTGACTAAGGGGAGAAACCTATGCAGAACAACAGCACTGCAGAGAGAAGGAAAACTAGACACGAAACCTATACCCGTCTTGCCAGCGTGGCCAAAAACCTCTAGGGGACACTATTAAAGGCTGTTGATGATGATGACGGCAAAAGTAACACTCACTTCCGAGGATATTAATAAAGAGAAACCAAAATGAATTTATAAAAAATGGAAATCATAATGTAAACAGTATTTACAAATACTTATATTTATTAAGTAATTTAATTACTTGGTACAAAACCATTATGAGAAAGAAAAAGATGAAAGTTGTTCTACATATAAATCACTTTAAAATATATTTAAAGTTCAATAACGTCTTATTTAAAATATTGTGTCCTAGAGCTAACAGGAAAGCAAAATAAGGCTCATTCCCGAAAGTGTCCTACAATAATATCGTCATTAAAAACTTAAAACTTCCATGCTATATTTAAAGACCTTCGAAAGTTTCGGTTCAATACTAATTTGCACTCAAATAGAAACGATACGTAATATGTATGTGTATTTACACGTGCTATCGACTTATAAATTATATACGTCCCATTTCATAATTTACGGTCGAAATCTCTCGTTCATCTAGTACAAAAACAGGTCAGTGAACTTTACCCGAAATTACCACAAATTAGGCAGCCAACGGACTCATTACTTTGATACCCCTATTCATGTCAGTATGGCTAAATTGATAGCACAAATCACGGAGTGAAAGGTCTGACATATCACATGATAATATTACACAAGCCGCAAGTCACACCAGCAATTTATTAAAGCAATCATCTTTTCAGAAGGTTTTTTTCTTTCTTTCCACGTTGTCAGTTTCCTATATTGATATTAATCATCATTCAAGTCTTCAACAATTCTGTTTCACGCTGTTTCAATGAAACGTGAAACGTGAACGTGCTTTCCCGTTTCTTTAAAGTAAATACTTAAAAAGACGGGAAAGCATATCTTCCATCACTTCCATGTCTCCCTATCTTATAAATCCACAATATCAAGAAAGGCTAAATTAAAGTGGCTTTTTTATGAATACTCGTTGTCAACTCCGCAGTGTTCTAAGCTTTCCCTTTTTACGTGATTGGCGATATCTAATTAATGAACCACCTTGGTATATCTATTATAAAAAGAAACAACAGAATTAAGTAGGTGAGTATTATATTTCAATAAGCCTAACCTAACCAGACGATTTTTAATACGACTACGATTTAAATACGACTACGTTTTAAATACTAAAACGTAGATGTTATACCGTATAGTAATAACCAGAAGGTCGCTTCGATCTTTACTACACGATCCCAGTTAGGTTAAAAACCAAAATTAAAATCAAAATTCGTGTTACTGTGAAATGAAAACAAAAATAAGGGTACAAAACTTCTTCAGGAAGATACCCGAAATAGCGGAAATCAGAGTTAATTTGCACGGATCTAAAAATAAGTTTAATCCGCTTTGATTGCATCTGTGTGAGCGCTAAGCCACTATAATCTAACTGAAATTGGAATTGAAATCGTTAAACGAAACCTATCTCTGACAGAATTGTTCAGACTTAACCTATTTCCACGACAATGTAATATAATTGTTGAAAATTGGCTCGCAAATCGGCAAATTCGTTTACAACGACTTTGGAAAATTAGGTCAACTTACGCAAGTAGGTAATGTTTTAATTCCATTTTTTTTCTTTACTCTATAAAGTTGCGTATTTAGATTTGATGAGATTGAGGCATCAGATAGTTTTATACTTCAGCAGACATTCTTCAAGGCAAAATTAAAGATATTTATTAGGTGAAGTGCATGAGAGAGAACAGTGCTGGAGAGAGAGAGTGGCTACGTTCATGAGAGGCCTCTGGCAATAAGAGAGCTTTAAACTTAAGTAATGAAATGCTTGGGAGAGATACTTTCTCTGAGACTCAGAAAGTTTTTAAGTGTAACTGTTGTGGATCTTGACCTCCAGGACTCACAAACATTTTTTAGAATGTAGGTGGTTTTTTTTTATTAATTGTATTACTTTTACTAAATATCAGGAGGTAAAGCGAAAACTTGAATTTATGATAAATGATTAATGATGATAAATGATTTTATTTTTGTTAGTAAATCATTTCAGATATTTTTACAAGTCGGACTTTACAGCTAGATGGAGCCGGCATTTTCTAACACTCTGGGAAGAAATGTCGAAACAAATCACAGAGGTCTTTTTTTTGTAGTCCGTAAACAAAGTTTAAGAAAACAGTGCGAGTACAGTGTACGGAGGTACGGTACCAACGTACATGTTATTTTACTCGTAAAACAAAAAGGATAAATATTACACATAAAATAGCAGAAAGTGCGGTAAAAATATGAATATAATTATTATGAAACATAATGTGGGAACCCACATCGTTAACTTTGGAGTATGCCTTAAAGTATTCATGAAAACGTATGTACTAGTATATCATTCACACTATTCAAAATTCTTGTAAGTATATTTTTAAGACATAGGGTGTTAACGTGCAGACGGGTCACTTGATGGAAAGTTACTGCCTCGGTGGTGTTGTGGTAGCGTATGCGACTGCTGTGCTGAGGTCTCGGGTTCGATTCCCGGGTCGGACCAAATGTTTGTACGATCTGCAAATATTTGTTTCGGAGTTTGGATGTTTTCTATGTAAGATATAAACGTATTTAAAAAAAAAGATTAAATAATCAGTCAACCAAGATTTATTTATTTATAACTTTATGCACTTTGGTACATCGGTGGACTTAATGCCCAAGGCATTCTCTTCCAGTCAATATTTGGGTGGTGTAGAAATTGTGAGTGGTAGGCGCACATAGGTTACAATACTAATCACTAAAATATACACTACACAACACAAAGCACGTAAATTTATATACAAACAAATACACACTCCATACATATAGATATACATATACACACTATACATATACATGTACACACATATACAGACATATATTCGCATTATATATTCGTACACTATGAATGTAGAAAAATTGGTTGCTGCATTATCGATTGGAAGATTTGCCACCTTTTAAAGAAGGAGGAGGTTATGTACCTTCTGTTTGAATACGGAACGGTTTGTGGATAACCCGACTTCAAGAGGGAGCGCATTCCCGAGTAGAATTGCTTGAACGAAGAACGAAGAGTTCACGAAGTCTAAATGGGGAGTCACAAGAGAAGCAATTATTTGCAGAACGAAGATTTCTGTCGTGATTAGACGACAAGAAACGGAGGTAGAGAGCAAGGTATTTAGGTGAGGATAGGGAGATGATAAATTAAAATAAAGAAGTCAGAGCTGGCTGCGCTGCTTTTGAAGCGATATAGTGTTCGTAAGGTTCCAGTAACTTTTTGGCTTACCTGGCTCGCCAATCGAGACTTAGGACAATGAGAAATAGTACAAGCTCTGCTTAGTTTGAAACAAGATGGCGTTGTGTGTCACATGTCGGAAAATATTATTATTATTAACTACTGCCACCCATATGTGACATATATTTGACGGGCCTGTTGGTCTAGTGGTTAGTGATCCTGACTTAAGCCGGAGGTCGTGGGTTCGATTCCCACCCAGGACAAATATTTGTGTGATGAGCACGATTTTTTGTTCTGTGTCTGGGTGTAATTTATGTAATATATATATGTATTTAGATATATATATATGTGTAACAGCAGTATCAGCAGTCCGGTTATCATGGTACAGGCTCTGCCTAGTTCGGGATCAGACGGCCGTGTGTGAGATGTGTCCAGTTATTATTATTATATAACATAACAGAACACATAACAGAAGTCACAAGTGCGTTGTCGTCCTTTGAATCCTTCCTTCAAAATCAGGGCGAGGAGGGTTTTGGGCTCGAGTAACCTCAGTCACTCGACACAACAACACACAACGAATAAACCACAAAATAGTTAAATGAAAATATATTCTCGAAATACTCAAACAGATGTGTATTTTTTATACCTTGCGAGTGTCGTATTGATTTTAGGGAGAATATAATTAGTTCCCACACAGGAGGGGGTCATCTACCCGCCGTGGATGGCCCGAGGTACTTTGGGGTACTAGGGATTTCCTTTCTAGGGTCCACCTACTTGGTACCCGAGGCGGCGTGCGAGGAGGGGATTTCCGCACAGGAAAAAAAAGGGAGAATCTAATTAAAACGAATTATTTTACGACTTGTGTCATAGTAAAAATAACCGTTCTA